CAGGACAGCTCCATTACATACAACACTACACAACATGATAAGATACAATAAAAACGCCAAACAGACAATATCGAATGCATAGAATAAAATTATAAAGTGCTGTTGTTAAGCTTGATGCATATTTCAACAGCTAAATCTTTGACAAAACTGTCAAATGATGATAGCCTTTTGTCTAATGTTGTCTATGGTCCATCGTGCCTCATCTGCCGTCCACCCGAAGACAACTCACGTGTTCAATAACTTATGAACCAAATCTCCTGGGATTAGGAATTATATCCTTCACATTTCTCATGGGACCTGAGGGATGCAGCCAAAAGTCATGAAATGGACTAAATTAAACGTATATATATTTTCAAAAATATATATTTTCAAATTCGGTAGAATGAAATGTTCTTCTTAAGATGCTTTGCCAATATTGTGAATTTCATGGCCCCAGGGTCTCACGTTTCCACATTAACACGAGATGTCAGTTTTATAATTTGACAAACAATTTACATTTTCGTGACATGTACAATATAGTTTAGGTACATGTAATTTTATATTGTAAAGATGATTTCTACAATGTTTCATACGTTAGAAGTAAAAAGTATCATTTTTCACTGAGATACAAGATGCTTTTTGAAAAATACCATCGTTGTGACCTTGACCCTGCATGAGAGATACACATAGTTCAGGAGAGCCTTTCTTGTATTATAAACTTTATTTATTCTACAACAATTGCGAAACAAGTTAATTGAACACACACACACACACATCACTATTGTTGGCCCGGATGTAAGCATGCGAGGGATTTTACTGTGGGAGAGAACCGGAGCACTTTGGTAAACCCGCGTGACGGACAGGTGACCCCAAATTTTTTTCACGTACGTTCCGGGAATTGAACTCCGGACAGCATGGTGAAAGGCGTTATTCTTTTGCCACCCGGCACCTAGAATAAATATAATTAAATACAATAAAAAAAATCCACACAGAAAGTATGAAATACTTAAAAGAAAATTAATAAGTGTGCGTGAAGCTTTGAAGGTCACGACTCCATGCTGTGATTTTGATCTTAGAGACGTGACTTTGATCATATGCGGACCTTAATTTCTGGTATGATCTGAGAAAGGAATCTAATAACTGGCTTTAGTTTGAAGGATCGTGACGGAAATGTAATTTTAGACGTAATGCATGCATACATGAACACACGTGCATCAATGAGATTTTGAGCTAATAGACGTCACAAATCTTGAACAATTACGATCACCAAACCAAATTGGCATCATTCGAACTATGACATATGTAAAAGTTTTATCTTTATATTCCGAAAATTGACGAAGAACTCAAAAAATAATTAACAAAGATGAATATTCCCTTCACTACATGTTACATTACATCATATGTAGATGACCAATTAATACAGACCTGGTGAAGTTTTATATCACTGGGAAGCATTAAAGTGCACAGGGATGGTGATCCCACCATATTATCAGTGGTCTGGTGACATTTTAAGAACAATTCAAACATTTAACAGATGGTCACCAAAAATCAATTTGTTAGAGATGTGTTGTCACGGTAATAGGAAGTGGTCTAAATCCCTTACCCCTTACATCGTGTACGTCACTGGTTTACCGGTGTACCAAGACACGTGCGTCACGGGGAAACATAATAGGCCCCAGACTTTACAAAAAAGGAGGGGGAGGGGTTCCTCTCATCTCGGCAGTTCCGAATCGACCTGAAGGTTGTTTGTAGTCATTGCTTCGAAACAATACGCATGAAGTCAATTGTATTGTCAACATTTCCAGTAAGTCACACAAATTGAACCTAGCCTAGCCTTACACCAACCCTTGTAAAATCTTGGTTTACTTTCAGTCTATGTGTATAAACTTTGTGTCGAGGATTTGTACAGAGTATCTATTGGTCTATTTCACTCTCCGCCGTTTGTTCATCCCTTTTCTAACTTTTTCTTTGGCGTTAGAAAATAACGTCATAAAGTCTGAAAGAATTTTAATCAGAAATGAGTTTGCAGTCGAATCAACAGAAGTTCTATATTTCCAGCCCTACCAAATCCTCGTGGCATTCATATCAGTTAAACATATCACGGCACACCTGATTTCTTTCTCGATACAAATTATGGTGATATATGAAGTTTTAATTTCTTCTTTTTAACAACTGTTTCACTAGCATTAAAGTTATTTGAAGAAAAAAAATATCCATTACTTATAACATATACATTGTACAGGTAATTTATTGATCAACTTACTACAACAAGGTTATTCCAAAGGTTTATTACATGTTTGCCAGTGAAATACAGGACTTTATCAGTTTGATAAATACTTATATATCGTAATTTAAACAACCAGTTGGTATTCCATCAAAGAAACGCCGTGTTTCTCCCTGTTTTTCTCTGGTATGGTAAATGCAGTAATGCAAACAATTTTGTAAACAATTCTTACCAGATATCAGTGTAAAATGGCGTAAAGCGACCTATCCTATCCTATCGTCTTGTTGTCAAGATTAACTTCAAACTTTCTGACGTCAAAGGGTGCACTAATATTTCTCAAACATTTTTTAACATCCCTTCATTTTCTGTTTGAATAGACCTTTTTAAGTCTTCTTCTTTTAGAAATGTAATAGAAAATTTAATAGCCTTCGTTTAATGTGATATGTATTTCACTCGTATGAGAGAATAATATACCGTCATAGTGACATAATATTTCAATATATAATATATATATAAGAGTTCAGGATCATGTTATATAACATTGTCAGTCTTACTTTATAAAACAAGGTGAGTCTGACGTTGCAGGGTCATTCTGATGTTATATAACATTGTCAGGCTCATGTTATATAACAGTGTCCGTCTGATGTTATATAACAGTGTCTGTATGATGTCATATAACAGTGTCTGTCTGATGTTATATAACATTGTCAGTCTGATGTTATATTGCAATGTCTGTCTGATGTTATATAACAGTGTCTGTCTGATGTTATATAACAGTGTCTGTCTGATGTTATATAACAGTGTATGTCTGATGTTATATAACAGTGTCTGTCTGATGTTATATAACATTGTCAGTCTGATGTTATATTGCAATGTCTGTCTGATGTTATATAACAGTGTCTGTCTGATGTTATATAACAGTGTCTGTCTGATGTTATATAACAGTGTCTGATGTTATATAACATTGTCAGTCTGATGTTATATAACAGTGTCCGTCTGATGTTATATTACAATGTATGTCTGATGTTATATAACAGTGTCTGTCTGTATATAACAGTATCTGTCTGTATATAACAGTGTCTGTCTGATGTTATATAACAGTGTCTGTCTGTATATAACAGTGTCAGTCTGATGTTATATTACAATGTATGTCTGATGTTATATAACGTGTCTGTCTGCATATAACAGTGTCTGATTGATGTTATATAACAGTGTCCGTCTGATGTTATATAACAGTGTCTGTCTGTATATAACAGTGTCTGTCTGATGTTATATAACAGTGTCCGTCTGATGTTATAAAACAGTGACTGTCTGATGTTATGTAAGTGTCTGTCTGATGTTATATAACAGTGTATGTCTATATAACAGTGTCTGTCTGATGTTATATAACAGTGTCCGTCTGATGTTATAAAACAGTGACTGTCTGATGTTATATAAGTGTCTGTCTGAAGTTATATAACAGTGTCAGTCTTATATTATGACATTGTCTGTCTGATGTTATATAACAGTGTCTGATGTTATATAACAGTGTCTGTCTGATGTTATATAACAGTGTCTGATGTTATATAACATTGTCAGTCTGATGTTATATAACAGTGTCAGTCTGATGTTATATTACAATGTATGTCTGATGTTATATAACAGTGTCTGTCTGTATATAACAGATCTGTCTGTATATAACAGTGTCTGTCTGATGTTATATAACAGTGTCTGTCTGATGTTATATGTTATATTACAATGTATGTCTGATGTTATATAACAGTGTCTGTCTGTATATAACAGTGTCTGATTGATGTTATATAACAGTGTCCGTCTGATGTTATATAACAGTGTCTGTCTGTATATAACAGTGTCTGTCTGATGTTATATAACAGTGTCCGTCTGATGTTATAAAACAGTGACTGTCTGATGTTATGTAAGTGTCTGTCTGATGTTATATAACAGTGTATGTCTGGTGTTATATAACAGTGTCTGTCTGATGTTATATAACAGTGTCCGTCTGATGTTATAAAACAGTGACTGTCTGATGTTATATAAGTGTCTGTCTGAAGTTATATAACAGTGTCAGTCTTATATTATGACATTGTCTGTCTGATGTTATATAACAGTGTCTGATGTTATATAACATTGTCAGTCTGATGTTATATAACAGTGTCCGTCTGATGTTATATAACAGTGTCTGTCTTATGTTATATAGCAGTGTCAGTCTGATGTTATATGACAGTGTCATTCTGAAGTTATATAACAGTGTCCGTATGATGTTATATAACAGTGTTTGTCTGATGTTATATAACAGTGTCAGGCTCATGTTATATAAGTGTCCGTCTGATGTTATATAACAGTGTCCGTCTGATGTTATATAACAGTGTCTGTCTGTATATAACAGTGTCAGGCTGATTTTATATAACAGTGTCTGTCTGATGTTATATAACAGTGTGTCTGATGTTATTGAATACATTTATTGTGCATGTATAACAGTCCCAATATTATGAAATAGCGTGGAATGTTATATAACAGAGTCAGTCTGATACATGTATATTATATATACAACATTTACGAGACAATTAGTCTATATCACAGTTGTCAGACTAATAAATTTCTCTGTCTTGCGGTATGTTGTTTTTATTTGTAACTGGCCAATCAAGTGATTGTGTCATCAGAATCTAAGTAGTATTAAATTTTGTTTATCTTTTTAGGCCAGTTCTGTGAAAGCGCCGAAGTACCAGAGTTCATCGCCTCACAAACTGACCAATCAGCATTCGTTGTTATGGATCGAACGACGATAGCCATGTGCTGGTGTGGTGTACGCTAAGATTTGCTTGTCATCAATCTAACATTATGACCGACATGCTCGGAGCGATGTTCACCCGTGGAGCAGAAATGATTGTAACGATGGACAAAGCTGTGTTTGAGATTGTATCATATGTCTATGTGTTTTGGGCAGTAGTTGTGTTGATCGCTCTGCAGTTTGTGAGTGCCCCTTACGGACGATACACTCGACAAGGATGGGGTTTACAGATAAATGGAAAGCTAGCATGGTTTCTTCAGGAAATTCCTTCCATGCTAGTGCCACTGTACTTGTTAGTAGTTACAGACTGTCCTAGGATCTCCTACACGCCTAACAAGATTATATTATCATGTTTTCTTATTCATTACTTTCACCGGTAAGTGGTTTTATAATGCGAACTCTTTCGCGAAGGAGATAGGTATCGTTAATGTAAACAAAACCATGTGCTTACAGCTGTCAAAATCCAAAATATATGGTAGCAATCACTCGCATCACACAAACACTCCTGTGTCTGATCATGGACTTACACACACACATATACATCTAAGTGTTTGATAGTACCTTATAATGACCAAATGGTAAAGGAAGAATAAAATGTGATTTGGTTTCACACTATTTCATACTACTGCAGTATTGAGAGAAAGAAAAAAAGCACACACACACAAAAACAAGTAAGTGATTACCTTTCTTTTTTTATTTCCTGTAAAATGTGAGGACTTCAAATACATCTTTATATTAAATTAAATCTTGAATTGTTTAATGTTTTCATATATATGAAGTACTTGGCATTACATTTACCATGCAGATGTAGAGATGTAGATGTCGGTGCCATTTTATGAAAAATGAGATGGTACACGAGTGTCAGTGTAATAGCGAATTATGAAACGATTTCAATAATTAGGGCATGTGCTATATCATATTATTTAACATGTTAAGTAAGTCCCAATTACATTGGCACAAGTGCAAGATTTCATTTATTATATAAATTTTTATTTCATAAAATTATGCAAACCTCTCAAATTGATTTCCAAATGAAGACAGACTTATTATGATGCAAATATTACTGTTTCACCACAGTGACAATCGTGTGACATTATCAAGTCTTGGCTTATTAACGATGTCACATTAGAGATCTGACACGTTTCTTGTGATATTTATGACATGGCCATAAGACATATGACACAATAGGCCTGATTTGTGATGAAAGCTATGCAGTATTTGGGAATAAATTTAGATTTGGGTTGAAAAGAATAAAGTTTAATGGAAGTATCATATTTTGTAAGAATGAAAACAGCAAGATTTTAAATCAACACATTTTTTTTTGTATTTTTAGGGCACTGATATTTCCCTTTCTGATAAGGGGAGGTAAGCCGACTCCACTGGTACCATTTTTACTTGCCCTTGTTTTCTGTCTTGTCAATGGATATATCCAGGCAGGATACCTTCTTCATCATGCAGATTTTGGGGACGAGTGGATTTATAACCCACAATTCTATTTAGGTTGGTACTTCGTTATTGACCAAAAATATGAAAAATTAATCTGGCTATAAGCCTTTGCTTATCTGTTGCTTTTTAGTAAAATAAGCAATAAGTAATGTATTGTTTTACATGCAATATGCGTACATCTGAGTCAGAATTTGTGTTGTTTCCTGGCCTTGGCTTATTATAGAATCACTGTGGTACAAAGGAAATGTAAAATGTTAACCTTAAAGTTGTATTACTATCATCTTTATCCTACCTTTTTGTCCTTAGATGAAATGCTTCAATTTTTTATGACTGAGGATTTGAGTATGTCTATTTTGTAAATAATGTTTAAAAATTATATTTAAACAGTACTACCTCTCACACCACAGCAAGTTATTATCTTAAACTGCTTTTATATTACAAGTATCAACACATTTACTGTAATATGAATAATATACCCAGTAACCGACATACAGCAGGTCTTCAGTTGTCAACTGACATGATAAATGTAAAGACACATACTTACTATGACTTCATGTTATTGTATTTGTCTCTTACTGCAGGACTAGTGTTGTTTTTTGTTGGAATGATTATAAATATACATTCTGACCACATTTTGCGCAATCTCAGAAAACCAGGGGAAAAGGGATACAAAATACCAAAAGGTAAACTATATACTCTAATTTTGAAACATTGCAATTGAATCACTCTCACGTCATTATTTATTTCATGTTTTAACTGATGGATCCATACTTCTTGAACTGGTCCTACAAGTTATTATCAATGTCTTCTAAGACAAAATGATTCATTTATGATATTTTCATGAAAAAGGTGTAACATATACAAGGCATTAAATAGATAGATAAAAAAAATGAGCAACATGAATAGAACTAACATATATGCACCACTACTACCAGAAATTTTATATTTTCCAACCTCTGATGTGCTGTTGCTGCTGTGATTACAGGAGGGATGTTTAACTATGTTTCGGGTGCTAACTTTTTTGGAGAGATGAGTGAATGGTGTGGCTTCGCTGTGGCTTGTGGTACTTTACCAGCCTATAGCTTTGCACTATTTACAGTGTGTAATATAGGACCACGGGCATGTCAACATCACAGGTAAGAAAAGAGACATTCAATTTTAGTATGAACTGGAAAAATCCTCCAAGCCAATTTATAGTAAACCAGAATTTGACCTTAGAACCTTGGTATATGAATTCGCCTGAGATGTTGTTTTAGTTGACTTTGTATTTAGTTTCATGAGAATTTCTTAAGACGTCAATCATTCTAGTGTGATGACTGTGCAAAATCACCTCCATCCAACTAAACCACCCCCATCCCCAAATAACCTAACCAAACCCCCTCCCTCTTTCTGTGTAAAATGGTAGAGACTCTTCCTACATTGTAGGTGGGAATTCAAATACTGAAGCTACCAACACCACAGGTGATAATACAAACACTGAACCTACCAACACCACAGGTGATAATACAAACACTGAACCTACCAACACCACAGGTGATGAGAATACAAACACTGAACCTACCAACACCACAGGTGATAATACAAACACTGAACCTACCAACACCACAGGTGATAATACAAACACTGAACCTACCAACACCACAGGTGAGAATACAAACACTGAACCTACCAACACCACAGGTGATAATACAAACACTGAACCTACCAACACCACAGGTGAGAATACAAACACTGAACCTACCAACACCACAGGTGAGAATACAAACACTGAACCTACCAACACCACAGGTGAGAATACAAACACTGAACCTACCAACACCACAGGTGATAATACAAACACTGAACCTACCAACACCACAGGTGATAATACAAACACTGAACCTACCAACACCACAGGTGAGAATACAAACACTGAACCTACCAACACCACAGGTGATAATACAAACACTGAACCTACCAACACCACAGGTGAGAATACAAACACTGAACCTACCAACACCACAGGTGATAATACAAACACTGAACCTACCAACACCACAGGTGATAATACAAACACTGAACCTACCAACACCACAGGTGATAATACAAACACTGAACCTACCAACACCACAGGTGATAATACAAACACTGAACCTACCAACACCACAGGTGATAATACAAACACTGAACCTACAAACACCACAGGTGATAATACAAACACTGAACCTACCAACACCACAGGTGATAATACAAACACTGAACCTACCAACACCACAGGTGACAATACAAACACTGAACCTACCAACACCACAGGTGACAATACAAACACTGAACCTACCAACACCACAGGTGATAATACAAACACTGAACCTACCAACACCACAGGTGATAATACAAACACTGAACCTACCAACACCACAGGTGATAATACAAACACTGAACCTACCAACACCACAGGTGAGAATACAAACACTGAACCTACCAACACCACAGGTGAGAATACAAACACTGAACCTACCAACACCACAGGTGATAATACAAACACTGAACCTACCAACACCACAGGTGAGAATACAAACACTGAACCTACCAACACCACAGGTGAGAATACAAACACTGAACCTACCAACACCACAGGTGAGAATACAAACACTGAACCTACCAACACCACAGGTGAGAATACAAACACTGAACCTACCAACACCACAGGTGAGAATACACATACAGAGACGAAACACTTGTTAACCAACGACCAAGCATAGATTAACATTTTTCTATACCGTAATACCACTGGGAAGGGAAGCAATTTGGTTGAAATACCAGGTGGCTTTTAGTGAAAGAGGTTCAACTGCTTCAGAATCCTTGGTGACATTTTACTCAAAAGGTTCAAAATCATCTACAACTGTTTAAGATTTTTTGTGACAGGTAGAAAAAATTTTACCAGAAACGAATGATATTCAGCTGAACATATAATACTAAGTTAAACATGTAGGAAAAATGGGACTGATGATTAGCAGTTATAAGTGATAAAAGGTTATGTACTTAGCTGGACAAGCAATAGAGCAATAATAGTATTTAGTTGAACATATTTTAGCTGAAACAGGTAAGGCCTTGAATGCCTGATAACTACATGTACACAGTAAAAGGTTGCGGGTACAAAGATAGCATGTGTACACAAATGTACACACATGTAGTGAATGAGCGCCATGCTGATCAAGTATCAGGGTCAATGATCATGGCTGCTCACAGTGACTTATCAACAATGTCAATATTTCACACTGATAATGAGCTTTGATATGTCACTCCAACCCGTCGTCACTATTAACCTGCTCACACTCCCAGTTCATGTAATGTTGACCTGAGATCAAAGTCTAACAGGGACATTTTGTTATAGTGTCTTGGACACATAACATGGCTTAAGCTCAAGCCTCAAGATGAGGTGTGAGGTGACAATGACAATTGACCCAAGGGTTTTGAGCAGAGGCAACAGACCCCAGAACAACTCAGGGTGATGCTGTCAACCCCTCATGTCGTCAGAACACTGGCACCTGTTGGCTAGATGTTACCCAGACACAGGAGGAGTCACAGAGACAAAAAAATCTTGTCAACGAATCAAGCCCAGAACTTTGTGACATCAGATTTAGTCTATTGTGACATCACCTTATAATGACATCAGACTATAATGAAAACTTTGCGATTTAGTCTATTGTGGCATCAGAACTTTGTGACATCAGATTTAGTCTATTGTGACAGACTATAATGACATCAGAATTTTGCGACATCAGATTTAGTCTATTGTGACATCACCTTATAATGACATCAGAACTTTGTGACATCAGATTTAGTCTATTGTGACATCAGACTATAATGAGAACTTTGCGACATCAGATTTAGTATATTGTGACATCAGACTATAATGATATCAGAACTTTGTGACATCAGATATAGTCTATTGTGACATCACCTTATAATGATGTCAGAACTTTGTGACATCAGATTTAGTCTATTGTGACATCAGACTATAATGACATCAGAACTTTGTGACATCAGATTTAGTCTATTGTGACATCAGACTATAATGAGAACTTTGCGACATCAGATTTCGTCTATTGTGACATCAGACTATAATGATATAAGAACATTGTGACATCAGATATAGTCTATTGTGACATCACCTTTTAATGATGTCAGAACTTTGTGACATCAGATTTAGTCTATTGTGACATCAGACTATAAGGACATCAGAATTTTGCGACATCAGATATAGTCTATTGTGACATCACCTTATAATGATGTCAGAACTTTGTGACATCAGATTTAGTCTATTGTGACATCACCTTATAATGACATCAGAACTTTGTGACATCAGATTTAGTCTATTGTGACATCAGACTATAATGAGAACTTTGCGACATCAGATTTCGTCTATTGTGACATCAGACTATAATGATATCAGAACTTTGCGACATCAAATTTAGTCTATTGTGACATCAGACTATAATGACATCAGAACTTTGCGACATCAGATTTAGTCTATTGTGGCATCAGAACTTTGTGACATCAGATTTAGTCTATTGTGACATCAGACTATAATGACATCAGAACTTTGTGACATCAGATTAGTCTTTGTGATATCAGACTATTGTTAAATGCTACTCTCTTGGTAAAAAACACTAACAGAAAATGTTATGAAATATGATATTTTTCAAGATTAGTTTAAAATAAAACTAATAAAGCTAACACTTTCTCTTAACTGCTCTAATTAAAGTGACAGTGCTCAATTTTGAAAAATATGATAAATAATTCAGGTCCAGATATACTTCATACATTACTGATTGCATGCTGAATGATGTACATTCATGTGAATTGATAAGAAACAATATGGTAGATCTACTTAATGTCATGGCATTGTCTATAACTTCACAGACAAACATTCAATCCCTATGTTTATTTGTGCTAAGATATGATATCGCTGTCCTGGCAACATGAGTGGTATCTTAGATTTATGATTTTCTGGAGACCTAATGATTGACATATATAGTAAATTGCAGTTGTGACATGTACTGAAATAGATGTTTAGCTGTGAAGAATTATATATCCCGTTAGTCATTGTCATAATGTGATTATAAAAGTCCATGTTCATCTTCAAGTGTCTGATTTTACAGATATTACCTGGAGAAGTTTGACGACTACCCAAAGGAAAGGAAGGCTGTGATTCCCTATGTGATCTGATCAGTTTAGATATACTTGTGACAATGTGGTAGCTATTTCTGCCTGCTGAGACTTTCTATAAACTCTATATTTCATCCTATGGCTTGATGTTATTTTACTTTTCTGCTTGATATTATTAAAAGTGATTTTACCAATAAACTGGAATTGTTTTTGTCTTTTTTTATAAAATGTTGCTTGGTGTCATTATTGAACATTTCTCACTTTAATACATATTAATGTCAGCACTCAAAATGTTTAATAGATTTACTGTAATTGATTCAGGTTGTATTGTCAGGAATTACCAAGTACTTTTTAGCTTGGTGACATTCATCAGTGTTTTTTTCTCTTTCTGTATTTTTTCACTTTAGCCTTGGTCTAACCCTTCACCAGAAGCCGATTGTAAGTTTTGTGATACTGGAGTCATTGGAAAATGATATGATTTTTACAGTGAAACCAAACGTATGATGCAGAAAAGTTCACCAAGGTACAGCTTTGAAAGTATTAGATGATTTTCCAATGTTTTATTCTACTCACCTCACTAAAGTGCAAATGAGCGATAACCACCATGTTGTGTCCATCCAGTGTCAACTTTGTTACTGAGCAGTTTTTTCTCATTAAGAAGAGACAAAGGTCATGATATTTGATCAATACTATTTGAAATAAAGGAGTATTTGTGTTCAGAGGAATTGCTTTAACACTTTTCAAGGTCATGACAGTCAAAACAGGTTTTAATCATAAAAACAACTTCTGATTCAGCAGTACACATCATAAGAAGTTCAATATAAATCAGTTGTCAGCCTCCTGCCATCTGGTATCTAGTATGGATGTTATAATGGGCCAAGTAAATAAACCTTCTACTGCTCAGAAATGTCCAGTAATGAAACATCAACTGATACATACTCTGTATAATTTTCAGGGAGCAATTGACACGTGAATTACAGTTACTGTCCTTTGTTAAAATTTCATATCCAGAGGATAACTTTATTGATCATATATATACAATGCACAGTGCACCGAATTCATATCCTGCAACCCCTTAATAACAGAGTTATTGCCCTTTGTTTAAAATTTGGGTATAAAGCAAAACTTTTAATAGCTTGCACATAAACTAGGATGATCAATTTTGGTGGATACTTTTATCATTCTAAGGCAATGTACAGTGTACCAAATTCAAGGCCCTTGACCCCTTAATTACAGAATTACTGCCCTTTGTTAAAAATATATTGTCCAGAGCATTGCTTGCATATACAGTAGGATAATGAAACTTAGTATACACGTGGATCATACAGAGACTACTTATAGTCATACTGGACCTCCTTGTATAACACCAGGTTGAGTGACAAAGGTACCCCAACATGTGGCAGAGGGAGTATTTTATGGAAACACAACCATAACCTCTAGAGTTCTCTGTCAATCGTTTTATTTATAAATGTTGAAAGTCGAAACCCTGTAACGAAATAAAATCACGCTACAGGACCTAATACATGACAGTTACGACATTTACCCATAAAACAATACAACATACAATATCATACCTGTGCATTGGCACAGGGCCCTAAACAACTTGTCACCGAGCTCGTATCGTACAACTTCTGGCAATAATCTGTAATCTGTAAGTTTCCAAAAATACAAATTTACTAATAATTCAAAATGAAGAAAATTCCGAAATTCAAAATCTCAAACTATTTAGAATTTCCAAATAGACGTATAATGTATATTATATATATATACAATAAAATATAGATATATAAGAAATGATTCAAAACACTTACATTAGTCAGGTACGTCCGTCAGCTATGAGTCCACAAAGGGTACTGACAAAATCTACACGAAACACAAAGAAAATCCCGCCAAACTGACCACTAAAAACCAGCCAATCACAATATTGGCACAACTTGACGTAAATATAATTTCAACCGTTTGACGAGTTGGAATTAGGATGAAATTATTTTCTCTGTGGTATGAGTCGCCAATAGGTGGCGCTATGTGTATGATTTGCAAATCAAGACTAGGGCTGTACTGTCGCGTGTTACCTGTACGTGTCATTCAGGCGGCACAGGTAGGGACGCACGGAGGTGGAGATTTTTTTTAATTTTTTGTTTGCGGTAAAATGTAATAGAAGTTCATCTGTGTGGGGTTTCTGTTGCGGTAAAATGTAATAGTTATTAATGAAATGAGTGACACATATATATACATACATTGTGTATTTGTAACAGATTAGGGTATGATTTACATGTTTGTTTAATAAATCAGTCGCGATGCCTCTGTCGCCGGTGAAATACATTTTAGTATTTTGTGTTGTTTATCCTATTGGATAATAAAATAGAGAAGTGACCAAACAACAACACACCTTAGGATACTAACGTCACAAAACATACGTGATGAGCACAAGTAAAAAACATAACAAGAACGTAACACCACAATATGGAACATGACACGCGGGCACGGTTTTTTCGGCGAGTAAACAGAAATTGTAATTTAAAAGATAATTCCACCCTGCCTACAAACATAATGACAAATACTTCTACATGAGAATTTTAAATCAAAATAATACCAGCCTAAAGTACATAAAATGTCCGCTATTTTGATACCACTTATGTAATATTGGCATAAAAATGTAAGCATATTGATTACTTCGATCTTCAAAAAAATGCAAAAATTTTCACAAAATAAAGAATATATCAAAGTTTGTCAAGTTCATTTTGTATAGTTGCAATCTCAGTCTATATTTCATACTTCTTTAAAAACTTTCTACGTATATATGCTGTCTATTGAATACATTTTAAGTGATTTAAAAACCGGTAAAATATATTTTTAGCAATTTAAACATGCATATTGCATAATTTGTTATAATCATGAAGATTTAATTTTCGTTGTTTTTTGTGCCATTCCCCTGCGGATAGGGGTTAGATTATATCCGCTGTGTCCTACTAGATGTGGTAGAAGTCCACTAAAAGGGGCAACCAGTCTGCCGTGGGTTGCGTCCCATTAGCACTGGGAGAAAGGATCCTGGTGGTTGAGGGGCGGTAATGTGGTTTGCATTTTACTCTCAAGCAATCTCGCATGACCTTCCCCCAATACATCACTTTGGCCTCTATCTCGGTAAGACGGGTGGTTATTGTGGCCATCAATGATCAATTGGCTGGTCATGCCAAGCCCTGGGTCAAATTTATGTCCTAAGTGTCATGTTTTTCACTCAACCGTATACCAATCTATTTTTGTAGCTTTTATTTTACAGCTTAAGGGCCAATCGAGAGAGTTCTATTCTTTCGAATATACTACCTGTGTATCCTTGGCACTCATTTACTGGAAATCAGTACCGTTAGTAGTGTCCCCTTGTTGGGCTCCGTGGTGGGCGAGGAGCACGGGTAATGAAAACATAAATACCTAACTATGGACACAAAAAAACAAAATAAACGACCTTGTCCTTCATCATCAGACTCAGAAGATGACCATGATTTCAACCAGTTCATCGTAATGCGATCGTTGGAAAAGGATAAATCAATAGCATCCGTTTCACCATTTGTTATTGAAAAAACAATCCTATCGACATGCGGTACTCCAAAGAGTGTTAAAAACTTCGGTCTGGCGAACTCCTTGTTATCCGCCAGCAACAGGCCAAGAACCTCTCAGGAATGACAAAGTTTTTCGAAATAGCTGTACAGGTTGTCCCTCATTCCTCCCTGAACACATCAAAGGGCGTTATACGCTGTCCATCTCTTCAGGGAGAGAGCGAAGAGAACATCCTCTGTTATTTCAAAGAAAAAAAACCAGAAAGTCAACCATGTTAAACAAATCAGGTTGAAGCGAGATGGCAGCATCCATGACACCAATACCTTTTGTTCTTACTTTTAACACCCCAATTTTACCAAAACGTGTAAAAGTTGGCTTCGAAAGTGTTGGTGTGGATGTTTACATCCCAACTCCACTGCGATGCTTTGATTGCCAGAAATTTGGTCATCATTCTGAAAACTGCAAGAAACAGAAAGTTTGTGCAAAATGTGGATTTGTAGGCCGCAAAGATGGGTCAGCAGATGGTGCTTGTGATGGTCGAGCTCACTGCACAAACTGTGGTGGTATGCATCCAGCATATTCAAGCGATTGCCCTGCTTGGCGCAAGGAAAAAGAGATCCTTCACGTCAAGTACACAAACAAAATCACTTTTCCAGAAGCAAGAAAGATTGTTGAAATACCTGTGTCGGGTCCATCCCATGCCAGTCTTGTAAAGGTTGGTATTACGACTGTGAAGACCTGTGATGCTGTTATACAGACGTGATGCAGGTACAATGACTGACATGGCGTGCGACAATCTTTCTAGCCTTCGGCCAGCTGCATCAAAGCCTTCTTCAACACAGTCATCGCGACCACCACCATCAAAATTACAATCAGAAAGCCCAAACTCCATCAAAACCTGCTCCCAGTACACAAAAAGTTAAGAATCAGCTTAAGTAGAAAAATAAAATATCTTCAGATAGAAGGAAAAAAGGGTCTGACGACCCAATTTACACCTTTAACAAATTCGGCTCTCAGGAGGAGGAGCTTCTTCCAGATCCTCCAAGATCTCTATTAAAGCTGTCAAGCCACCTTAGGTAAAATAAGTAGTCTTGCTAAGTATCAATTGTCCCCCACTTATCTCTCTTTTTTTTGTTAGTTATAATGGATATAATAATCCAATGGAATTGTAGAGGCCTTCGTTCCAATATTGATGAGATTCTTTCCGTCACCTTTAACAATATTATTCATATATACGAGATCCGAGTCAATCACATTTTTCAGGCATAAAGCTTTACCATTAAGTGTTACATATTTGTATAATTGGTGACTGATATATACCCTGTATGTGGTTGTCATTAGTGACTGATATATACCCTGTATGTGTTTGTCATTGCTTACTGATATATACCCTGTATGTGTTTGTCATTGCTTACTGATATATACCCTGTATGTGGTTGTCATTAGTGACTGATATATACCCTGTATGTGGTTGTCATTGACGATTGATATATACCCTGTATGTGGTTGTCATTAGTGACTGATATATACCCTGTATGTGGTTGTCATTAGTGACTGATATATACCCTGTATGTGGTTGTCATTGATGATTGATATATACCCTGTATGTGGTTGTCATTAGTGACTGATATATACCCTGTATGTGGTTGTCATTAGTGACTGATATATACCCTGTATGTGGTTGTCATTAGTGATTGATATATTACTTGTATGTGGTTGTTATTAGTGATATATATCCTGTATGTGGTTGTCATTGGTTACTGATATATACCCTGTATGTGGTTGTCATTAGTGACTGATATATACCCTGTATGTGGTTGTCATTAGTGACTGATATATACACTGTATGGTTGTCATTGGTTACTGATATATACCCTGTATGTGGTTGTCATGGTGACTGATATATACCCTGTATGTGGTTGTCATTGGTGACTGATATATATCCTGTATGTGGTTGTCATTAGTGACTGATATATACCCTGTATGTGGTTGTCATTAGTGACTGATATATACACTGTATGTGTTTGTCATTGGTGACTGGTATATACCCTGTATGTGGTTGTCATTAGTGACTGATATATACCCTGTATGTGGTTGTCATTGGTGACTGATATATATCCTGTATGTGGTTGTCATTAGTGACTGATATATACCCTGTATGTGGTTGTCATTAGTGACTGATATATACCCTGTATGTGGTTGTCATTAGTGATTGATATATTACCTGTATGTGGTTGTTATTAGTGATATATATCCTGTATGTGGTTGTCATTGGTTACTGATATATACCCTGTATGTGGTTGTCATTGGTGACTGATATATACCCTGTATGTGGTTGTCATTAGTGACTGATATATACACTGTATGGTTGTCATTGGTTACTGATATATACCCTGTATGTGGTTGTCATGGTGACTGATATATACCCTGTATGTGGTTGTCATTGGTGACTGATATATATCCTGTATGTGGTTGTCATTAGTGACTGATATATACACTGTATGGTTGCCATTGGTGACTGATATATACCCTGTATGTGTTTGTCATTGGTGACTGGTATATACCCTGTATGTGGTTGTCATTAGTGACTGATATATATACCCTGTATGTGGTTATCATTGGTTACTGATATATACCCTGTATGTGGTTGTCATTAGTGACTGAAATATACCCTGTGTGTAGTGGCCACTGGCATCTGATACACACACTGTATGTGATTGCCATCAGACAGTTCTGTAAGCAATATAAGCATTTCATTTTTTCTACAATTTCATCAAAACAACACAGATCATCTCAATTTTCAACAAGTTTTTAATCTCTTGATAAACAGTTGAACAATATCCACAATCCTGTTACATCACAGTCTTCCTGTCAGTACCTTATGAGAAAGAGGTCAGAAATTATTACAATTCATGATTTACTTGTCAGGGAAAATGTACATGGGAGTCATGTGATTTTTAGAACAGATACAGGTGTAGTTCATGGTTCCACAATCTGTTACTCAAGTTACAGGCTATGTTTGACATCATCTTACTTGGTTTTGAGTGAAGGATTTTTTTGTTTCTTGGGGGTCTTTAAGGAAAATAACACCTACAATGTATTGAAGACTTGTGAAGTGAAAAACTTTTTCAGCTTTCAACAAACAATAACACCAGTTGTAAATGTTAACTCCAACGATTACCCTGTTTAGTCATCCTGTCAAATCATTTAATGTCATTATCTGAAGTTTGTCTTTCATTATTAGGAAAAAACGCCATTGTATTTAGTTCATAGATAGTTAATAAACAATTTTATTGAGACAATAATCTTGACTTGCATTTTATCTCAAATGGCATTTAATAAGTCATAATATATTCATATATTTCACGAACAAAATAAAAATAACCAAGACATTAAAACAGAAATAAATCAATGCCACATCATAATGGCCATTAAAACACATGTCAATGTAAGTATAGACCAATCATTACAGCTGGGAATCAGTATAATGTCATTAAAACACATGTCAACGTAAGTATAGACCAAATCATTACAGCTAGGAATCCGTATAATGTCATTAAAACACATGTCAACATAAGTATAGACCAAATCATTACAGTTGGGAATCCATATAATGTCATTAAAACACATGTCAACGTAAGTATAGACCAAATCATTATAGCTGGGAATCAGTATAATGTCATTAAAACACATGTCAACGTAAGTATAGACCAAATCATTACAGTTGTTGGGTAAAATTTATCATTACAAACTCAATTAAAAAGAGTGTACATTCTCAACTTTACCAACAGGCAAATCCCTAAACAGCAATCTGATTTCTTTATTTGTAGAGACTGACTTCAAGAATAAAGTTTTTTTTTATAATACAGTAAACACAATGTAAATAAACAAAGTGTAATACAATGATTATATATATAATAAATCCACTACTCTATAAAACTTATTTTCAATCTGTAATGTACATGTATAATTTGCCCTGTAACAGTATTCAGCACCTTTCTTACACTGCCTTTTAAGAAACAAATCTTGACAAAGCTAACTTGATGTAGATGCACCTTGGAATGTGTAAATATGTTTATAAACCACAATGTTTTTTAGAGTCTGAAATAGAATGTCTAATTTGAGACAAAACAATCGTTTCAATGACTCAATTAAGTAATATAAAATTGAAAACATATCTTGAATCAAAGCGGTTTAGATGTATTGCTGCATTATATTTGTTTAAGTTACTTCCCCTGATAACTGTGTTGACGCGGAGGTAAGAATGTAAGACTTCAATGTAGCCGGGTCTTATGGTTTAGTCCTCTGTCGACCAGACAGTGGTTTGTCAGCCCATTATACTTTCCCACACCCAATGGTAATGATTTGTACTAAACTTTCAGCTAGGTAAAAACTTCCTTTCATTGTAAAATCTGGTATTATATATAGGTACAAGACAATTCCTAAGTGTGTAAGTGATTTGTAAACATTTAACTACTTATCAGGGGTATACAATATAGGTGTACACACTAGTCTGACTATGTATGGCTTGGATGGCACTTAATCAGTGAGGTACTCATAGAGATCACACAAACTCAAATACATCATTTTATCTACTGTGTCAATAAATCTAACATATGTACATGTAATGTACATGGTTCTCATTCTAAACCATACAATGTACATGGTTCTCGTTCTAAACCATAAAATGTACATGGTTCTCGTTCTAAACCATACAATGTACATGGTTCTCGTTCTAAACCATACAATGTACATGGTTCTCATTCTAAACCATACAATATACATGGTTCTCGTTCTAAACCATACAATGTACATGGTTCTCATTCTAAACCATTCACTACACATGATTCTAAAACTAACACAATTATAATGTACAAGTGTACATAATTCACATTCTAAACAATAAATGTACACAATACTCTAATATTAACACAAATGTACACAGTTCTCATACAAAACAATGTAATGGTTGATTTACAAAGTACACAGTCATCTGACAAACAAACAAGGTATATGGTTCTTAATCATAGATGACAATGCTTGTTTTCAATATCACTACTTACATTAATGATGATGATCTGACACAATTTGAAGTCAACAATTGTTCCCATTCAACCCACTTGTAACATTCCCATGTTCCTCTTATAACAAATCAATGGTAATAACAGTTAATAGGCAAGGTAATCAAAAATGATCTATTGATTGATCTCAGCACAGACTTGTATACATCAGTCAATGATCACAGTGAGGAACAATCACATAAAACTGATTGATCTCAGCACAGACTTGTATACATTAGTCAGTCAATGATCACAGTGAGGAACAATCACATAAAACTGATTGATCTCAGCACAGACTTGTATACATTAGTCAGTCAATGATCACAGTGAGGAACAATCACATAAAACTGATTGATCTCAGCACAGACTTGTATACATTGGTCAGTCAATGATCACAGTGAGGAACAATCACATAAAACTGATTGATCTCAGCACAGACTTGTATACATTGGTCAGTCAATGATCACAGTGAGGAACAATCACATAAAACTGATTGATCTCAGCACAGACTTGTATACATTGGTCAGTCAATGATCACAGTGAGGAACAATCACATAAAACTGATTGATCTCAGCACAGACTTGTATACATTGGTCAGTCAATGATCACAGTGAGGAACAATCACATAAAACTGATTGATCTCAGCACAGACTTGTATACATTGGTCAGTCAATGATCACAGTGAGGAACAATCACATAAAACTGATTGATCTCAGCACAGGCTTGTATACATTGGTCAGTCAATGATCACAGTGAGGAACAATCACATAAAACTGATTGATCTCAGCACAGGCTTGTATACATTAGTTAGTCAATGATCACAGTGAGGAACAATCACATAAAACTGATTGATCTCAGCACAGACTTGTATACATTAGTAAGTCAATGACCACAGTGAGGAACAATCACCAGAAATGTTTTACAAGGAAATTTAGTGGCACTATATCAGGATTTCCCTTGAGTAACTTGACTGTGCAATTAATATCTTTCTCATATATGTATATATGTAAACAATGCCGCAGTATCATAAGTTATCAAATATCAGTTTAATTTTAATATGATAGTAATATCAATAGATTTCATCGTAAAGGTATAATGGTTATATTGTCTATGGCTCAAAATTTTCAATCTGACTAGTACACTACAGACAATTCAAAGCATGACTTCCTATACTGTACCTGGAAATGAAAAGTCATAGAAGGTGTGCTGTGGTTAGTGATTGGAAGATCGGAAGGAATTGTTTGCCCACAACAAAGGCCACATGACATAATATTTGCCTGCCTGTTTGACACGTTTTGTGATCTTAACATCAATGTTAAACCTTGAGTATTATGGTATGGCTGTAAACAGCAATAGCTTAATTTAACAACAGAATGCATCTCCACATGCTTCACTTGAACACCATTTATTTTAATCATTTAAGTATACCATGGGGAATGCTTTTATGGACAAGAGATAATGAAATGTCTGACCATTACCTGCCACATGTAAAGCCAGTGCATTCAACTGCCACATGTAAAGCCAGTGCATTCACCTCCAACATGGAAAGTTAGTGCCTTAACCTGCCACAGGGAAGTCAATGCCCTAACCTGCCAAAAGTTAAGTGAGTGCCATAACCTGCCACATGGAAAGTCAGTTCCTTAACCTGTCACAGGGAAGTCAGTGCCTTAACCTGCCACAGGGAAAGTCAGTGCCTTATCTCTACTGATGTATGGAGTCCTTGCCCGTAATATTTGCTGTATGGAGACCTTGCCTGTAATATTTGCTGTATGAAGGCCTTGCCTGTAATGATTGCTGTATGGAGTCCTTGCCTGTAATGTTTGCTGTATGAAGTCCTTGCCTGTAATGTTTGCTGTATGGAGTCCTTGCCTGCAATATTTGCTGCATGGAGTCCTTGTCTGTAATGTTTGCTGTATGGAGTCCTTGCCTGTAATGTTTGCTGTATGGAGTCCTTATCTGTAATGTTTGCTGTATGGAGTCCTTGCCTTTAATATTTGCTGTATGGAGTCCTTGCCCGTAATGTTTACTATATGGAGTCCTTGCCTGTAATGTTTGCAGTATGGAGTCCTTGCCTGCAGTATTTGCTGCATGGAGTCCTTGCCTGTAATGTTTGCTGCATGGAGTCCTTGCCTGTAATGTTTGCTGTATGGAGTCCTTGCCTGTAATATTTGCTGTATGGAGTCCTTGCCTGTAATGTTTGCTGTATGGAGTCCTTGCCTGTAATGTTTGCTGTATGGAGTCCTTTCCTTGCCTGTAATTGTATTTGCTGTAAGGGAGACTGTTGATACTAGTGCCTGTGCTTGGCCAGCAATGTCTCCACTTCTACCTGAGATGTTTTGTCCTGCAGAATGAAATGTCAAAATATGAAGTAAGAATACCAAAATGTATCTTTACCTAAGTTTTGAAAGTAATCTAAGCTCATTTCATTGTAAATGTCATTTAAAAATTCATTCATGCACACGTGTACTTATTCAAAAGAAACTATAGTGATCATGCTGAATGTTGAAATTGAGAGAAAAAATAATCTATACATGAGTAATCATAATTTATTGTCGAATAACTGAGCAGCAAGCAAAATATCTAAACAGAAGAACCTGTTTTATAACATGTGAAACTAATCAGTATAAAAGTTATTGTCACTAAATATATATCTGGGACATAACATAGTAGGAATGAACCATATCAGTGTCAAACACACATGTGATGTAAAACACATGTACAGCTGTCTACAAAGATCTGCAGTTTGTTAATCTCATTCTCCTAGGTATATATGTTGTTACCTGTAACTTACCCCATATGGTGACCTATCTCATTCTCCTAGGTATATATGTTGTTACCTGTAACTTACCCCATATAGTGACCTATCTCATTCTCCTATGTATATATGTCGTTACCTGTAACTTACCCCATATAGTGACCTATCTCATTCTCCTATGTATATATGTCGTTACCTGTAACTTACCCCATATGGTGACCTATCTCATTCTCCTAGGTATATATTTTGTTACCTGTAACTTAACCCATATAGTGACCTATATCTGATACTTACATCTTGACTAACTACTGGGATGGTGACTGCCTTTTCTAACCAAACAACAGCCTGTACAGTGTTACTTTGTTGTATATAACACTGCAATAACAATTTAAAAAAAAAACATACAGTGTCACGGAGGCTATCAGGCTGGTTTAAACATGTCAATGAAAGGAAGCTAAGAAAATGGTCAAAATGAAAATACAAATACCCGGTACATCATAACTACAGAACTCTTCTTCCACTACAAAACTATTCACTCGCTACAAAACTCTTCACTGACTACAAAACTCTTCCCTCACTACAAAACTCTTCACTGACTACAAAACTCTTCCCTCACTACAAAACTCTTCACTCACTACAAAACTCTTCACTGACTACAAAACTCTTCACTGACTACAAAACACTTCTCTCACTACAAAACTCTTCACTCACTACAAAACTCTTCACTCACTACAAAACTCTTCACTGACTACAAAACTCTTCATCCACTACAAAACTTCACTGACTACAAAACTCTTCACTGACTACAAAACTCTTCACTGACTACAAAACTCTTCACTCACTACAAAACTCTTCACTCACTACAAAACTCTTCACTCACTATACAAAAATCTTCACTGACTACAAAACTCTTCACTGACTACAAAACTCTTCACTCACTATACAAAACTCTTCACTGACTACAAAACTATTCATTCACTACAAAACTCTTCACTCACTACAAAACTCTTCACTCACTATACAAAACTCTTCACTGACTACAAAACTATTCATTCACTACAAAACACTTCTCTCACTACAAAACTCTTCTCTCACTACAAAATTCTTCACTGACTACAAAACTCTTCACTGACTACAAAACTCTTCACTCACTATACAAAACTCTTCACTGACTACAAAACTATTCATTCACTACAAAACTCTTCACTCACTACAAAACTCTTCACTCACTATACAAAACTCTTCACTGACTACAAAACTATTCATTCACTACAAAATTCTTCTCTCACTACAAAACTCTTCTCTCACTACAAAATTCTTCACTCTGGTAAACACTACTTTCAGTCATAATAATAAAGCTTAACATGTTTCAATAAAATAAGCTGAAAAGTTTATCCATACAAACAGGAAGACTAATGATGGACTGAGGAACTGTATCATTCCATAATATATCCCGTTTTTATCAGGTACATCACTGAAGTGATAATAATAACAGAAGTATTCCTCATCAATGAAAGATATATTTACCTTGGCAATAAATAACATGTTTTCTTTCCATTTTCCTGGGTTCAGTCGCTCAGCCTGAAAATATTGAGGTATGGAATACTTGTAATGTGATGAGAGTGAACTTGTAATGAGTTAAAGGAGTACTTTTTATCGTCAAAGAGAATTTGTTATGAGTAAAGGAGGTACTTGTTACGGGTTAAAGGAGTACATGTAAAGGGTAAAGGGAGCACATGTTATGGGAAGAAGTACTTGATATGGTTTGAAGGAGTACCTGTTATGGGATAATGGAGTATCTACTAAGGTTTGAAGGAACACTTACTTTTTTTGTCATATGAGTAAAAGGAGTACTTGATATAGGTTAAAGGAGTATTTAATAAAGGTGAAAGGAGTACTTGATATAGGTTAAAGGAGTACTTAATATAGGTGTATATTGTGAAAGTACAGAAGATATTCTCATTTGAATGTCGATATCTGAATAAACTGTATCAACAACAAATAAGCCTCATTACATGTTGTGTCCTTCCACACAAACAAAAACTTGAACACTATATCTAAAAAAAATAAAAACTGCAACTGACAATATACATCATTTCTGTGTCAAACACAGTAAGTATGTATATCTGTCATAGTTGGGTCAGTAAAAATTATTTACTGACCTGAAATTTCCTTCCTACATTTGTGTACAATGACCTAGAAGTATGGACTACATTCGCATATAATGACCTGGGAGTATAATTTTTGTCTGGGGCCAGACAGGTGTGTTTTCCACATCTTCCAAATGTGGAACCAGAAAACATAAGGTATTGAGAAATACTCATGATGTCTTCAAGAATGACATGGAAATGTACATGTTTTCTGTAGTAATGGATCATGTGATAAAAATGATTCTACATCGGGAAACAATCTATTGTTTCATGCAAGAAAACATTTTAGAAAACCTTGTTACCTCAAGAAAATTTTGTAGAGCTTCATCTGCAGTTGATGTAGGAGGTGTAGCATAAAGAGCAGCAGCTGCCTTCCTCTCAATCCACGACAACATGTAAACCTGTCAAAATACATCACATGTAAACCTGTCAAAACACATCACATGTAAACCTGTCAAAATACATCACATGTAAACCTGTCAAAATACATCACATGTAAACCTGTCAAAATACATCACATGTAAACCTGTCAAATACATTTCATGTAAACCTGTCAAAATACATCACATGTAAACCTATCAAAACACATCACATGTAAACCTGTCAAAACACATCACATGTAAACCTGTCAAAATACATGAATATAACATTTAAACCTATCAAAATACATCACATTATCATCAATTATGTCTAAATGTACACCTGTTAAATACATCATGACTACATGTACACCTGTCATAACACATCATGTCTAAGTGTATACCTGTTAAATACATCATGTCTAAGTTATACCTGTTAAATACATCATATCTAAGTGTATACCTGTTAAATACATCATATCTTAGTGTATACCTGTTAAATACATCATGTCTAAGTTATACCTGTTATAATACATCATGTCTAAGTGTATACCTGTTGAAATACATGACATATCCACCTACCATAATACATCACGTATACAAGTAAGTCTTTCATATTACATCATTTCATTAAAATTTTGACATGTACATCTGCCATATGAACAGATCACATACCCCAAAGCACCAACGTCCCAATAGATGGTGATTAGAAGGATCATCTGGGTTGATTTGTATGGCTCGCTCTATATGTTCCTAAAAAAAATAGAAAGTACAGCTGTCAATTGTTAAAATGTGACTCATTAAAACAATACATTTATAAATACCTATAATAAGTCCACAGGAGTAGACAAACTTCAGCCTTGTATAAACTTCAATCAAATGCTTGACATTAACAGGGGTTTAGTTTACCAGTAGACAAACTTCAGCCTTGTATAAACTTCAATAAAATGCTTGACATTAACAGGGGTTTAGTTTACCATTAGCCTAGACAGGCATTAGCATTAACTTGTATAAACTTCAATAAAATGCTTGACATTAACAGGGGTTTAGTTTACCAGTAGACAAACTTCAGCCTTGTATAAACTTCAATAAAATGCTTGACATTAACAGGGGTTTAGTTTACCAGTAGACAGGCATTAGCCTTGTATAAACTTCAATCAAATGCTTGACATTAACAGGGGTTTAGTTTACCAGTAGACAAACTTCAGCCTTGTATAAACTTCAATAAAATGCTTGACATTAACAGGGGTTTAGTTTACCAGTAGACAGGCATTAGCCTTGTATAAACTTCAATAAAATGCTTGACATTAACAGGGGTTTAGTTTACCAGTAGACAGGCATTAGCCTTGTATAAACTTCAATCAAATGCTTGACATTAACAAGGGTTTAGTATACCAGTAGACAAACTTCAGCCTTGTATAAACTTCAATAAAATGCTTGACATTAACAGAGGTTTAGTTTACCAGTAGACAGGGATTAGCCTTGTATAAACCTAGATAATATGTCTGACATTATCAGGGGTTTAGTTTACCAGTAGACAGACATTAGCCTTGTATAAACCTAGATAATGTCTGACATTATCAGGGGTTTAGTTTAACAGTAGACAGACATTAGCCTTGTATAAACTTCAATAAAATGCTTGACATCAACAGGGGTTTAATTTACCAGTAGACAAACTTCAGCCTTGTATAAACTTCAATAAAATGCTTGACATTAACAGGGGTTTAGTTTACCAGTAGACAGGCATTAGCCTTGTATAAACCTAGATAATAAATCTGACATTATCAGGGGTTTAGTTTACCAGTAGACAGGCATTAGCCTTGTATAAACCTAGATAATATCTGACATTATCAGGGGTTTAGTTTACCAGTAGACAGACATTAGCCTTGTATAAACCTAGATAATACATCTGACATTATCAGGGGTTTAGTTTACCAGTAGACAGGCATTAGCCTTGTATAAACTTCAATAAAATGCTTGACATTAACAGGGGTTTAGTTTACCAGTAGACAGACATTAGCCTTGTATAAACCTAGATAATATCTGACATTATCAGGGGTTTAGTTTACCAGTAGACAGACATTAGCCTTGTATAAACCTAGATAATACATCTGACATTATCAGGGGTTTAGTTTACCAGTAGACAGACATTAGCCTTGTATAAACCTAGATAATACATCTGACATTATCAGGGGTTTAGTTTACCAGTAGACAGACATTAGCCTTGTATAAACCTAGATAATGTCTGACATCACTGACATTAATTTACTGGTAGACTGATGTTAGCCTTCTATAAATTTTGGTAACTAGCTTGACATTTTCAGGGTTTGTATTGCTGGTAGACAGACATATGCTTGTAAAATCCTTCTTTCTCAACAATTGTCAATCAATCATATCTCTCAAGAATCTGTATCATAATTATCTCCAACCTATCTAGTTAACAGGGTTTTACATCTGCTGTAGCAGCCTATTGACCTTTCAGCAGTCTAGTTCTCACATTCAATGTATGATGTACAAGAAACTATTCCACACTGTGTAGTTCAGATTTTTCTTTCAGTATGCCCTGTGAGACACATTCTCCAGACCAGATCTGGATAGGTTTCAAGCTTGCAAAGCAAATCATTGAAGATGTAAATCAAGACTTCTATTTTAAGACAACACCCCACATGTTAAGACGATTAATTCATTATACCTCTATATCCTGCATCCAATAATAACTGTGTTAAGTAGGCATAGTTGCTTTCTCTCAGTCAGGGTTTAATGTTTTATACATGTAAATCTTATCATCCATTACTTTACATTTTAAAATTCCTGGAGTATACCAACCTTGAATACATAACCATTTTTTATCTTTTCTTGGGTGCCTTCATAGTCTCCTATGCTTCCCACAGTTATGGCAAACCTGTTATTGAATCAAAAGTATTAAAAGCTCACAAGAAAAGACCTTGAAAAAATTACCTCTGTATAGACCAACCAGCAAGATGTGTGATTGAACATGCAACAAAGCCATACAGTGTGCGACTATTATGACATCAGTATTGTTGGCATAGAAACAGGGACAGTTTGTCATAAAAATGTCTGTTCCACCTGATAGATTTCACAGTTAAAAATAAGTAACTCATTTTAGTTTATATCAAATTACTATCAGTACAACAAATTGAGTAGTGAATGCTAATATAACTACTGAACTGTCTTGTTATGGCATGTGTGCCTGTACCTATGGCATTTATAATGCCTATGAAAGCAGCTCATTGTTTAATATGAAATCAGGAGTATACATATATGCTTTTAGATAATTAGTGATTGCTAATTCCTATTTAGAATTTGATCATCTGTACATAATTAGTTCACAATTAGTTCATGTACCATTTATGAGCATTTGCACAATCTTCATTGAGCGTTAGGGCCTTGGATGCACTATCCTTAGCACTGTATACCATTTCTTTCTTCTTGTTTTCATTACCAAGACTGCCTTCTATCTGTGCCACCTGATATGTACACTTTGAAAGGCGCCAGTGGAAATCAGCATCATCCAGAAACTGCAACAGTCAACACATCATTATAGATAAGCTTAGAAAGTTGTCATCTACAAGTGATGTATTCCTGAAACTACAACAGTCAACACATCATTATAGATATGCTTAAAAAGATGTCATCTACACGTGAACATAATACAGACACTACAACATTCAACACATCATTATAGATAAGCTTAGAAAGTTGTCATCGACAAGTGAACGTAATACAGACACTACAACAGACAACACATCATTATAGATAAGCTTAGAAAGTTGCCATCTACAAGTGATGTATTCCAGAAACTACAATATTCAACACATCATTATAGATATGCTTAGAAATGTGTTCTTTACAGTTGATGTATTACGGAAACTACAACAGTCAACATATCTATACAAGTACACTTGGAGACTTTGAGATTAGACACTGTCACTTCAACAGCTGATAGCCTGATCAGACAGAAAAATACTGAAGCAAATAGTAGAATCTAACATCATATGGAACACCAAATGATCAGTAATGATTTTTTTTTTAAATGGGAATAACTTTACACATATGTAACATTCAGCTCAAACTTTAAAGTAAACAATTTTAACTACACAACAACGTATGAATGCCATGACTAAATTCTTCAAATATTACAATAATACCTGGGATTTATGTTTCTGGAGAAGAGAGAAGGCCCTTTGTTTATCATCATCACCCCCATCCAGAAGGTGATCTACTTGCTGGTAAACTTGAACTTTTTGTTCATCAACTGACTGTTGTCTTTCTGTCTGTCCTGATGCAATGTCCTCCACTTTCAATTCCCTGAAGGACTCAACAAATTCCTGATCACTTGGAGAACTCACAGTTCCTGACCTGCACCAAATAAAAATCATTCTTTTCAAATAATTTCAGAATCATATATTGCAATTTCATTGATATATCAATGAAGCCTACATATTGTACACATAAATGTACTTGTTAACCAATTTGTCAAGAGAGTAGAATGCAAAAGCCCACAGACAGTGTGATAAAAACAACTTCAGAGAGGCTGAAAGTAATCACGTTCAAGCAAATACACAGGCTATTAAAATGTTATACCTAACAAGGGGTACTCAAATCAGAGATAAATATAAAAGATATCAAATAACTTGATCAATATATAAGACAACACCTTTCTACAAGATCCTGTATGCAGTATGCCTTTTGTCATTTGGCGAATAAAGGGAAGGAAATGAGGTGGGCTTAAATCTGAAATTCAAGTTAAATTATATGTTTTTTTTATACATTTAAGGCTGACTTCATACTGGTCCAACTGATAGTTTGATACCAGGACAAAGGTAAAATTGGGCAAATATTTCCCTACAAAAAGAATCTACAACTTAAAAATGTGGCCAAAGGTAAGTTATCTGGATTAACAGAGGTGATAACATAAACAAACTGAACAAATCTTCTTTATCTGTGTAACAATATATCTAAACCCTATATTGTTACAATAACAAAATAGGGTTTATATATATTGTTACAATCAGACAGGGAAAACTCTCCAGTTGGAGAAATTTCTGAAGAACCAACATCCTACTGAGTTCATATGTGTATTTAGTATCATCTTCTAGACTTCAGGAGGATACCTAGTGATATCCATACAGAGGTCTCTTAAAACGTAGTAAACACCAACTCCTGAAGCCTTGTAAGCCAACAGTATATTCTATCTTCTTCTATAGCTAGTTGTCATTATGTTTCATCATTAAAGACAGGCCATCATCAGGGCACAGCTTACATGATGTACAAGTGAAACAGTCCTAAAACACATCTTCTTTATGTTTTAGTGAAAGTCCTAAAACACATCTTCTTCATGTTTTAGTGAAACACTCCTAAAACACATCTTCTTGACATTTTAATGAAGCACCCTTAAAAAACATCTTCTTTACGTTTTAGTGAAACACTCCTCAACATATCTTCTTGATATTTTTAGGGACACAAAATAACGAAATAAATAGGCTGATTTTGACTACATACTACATCCATTTATAAAGATTGTCTCCCTTTGGCCAATGTTCTAAATGCTTCCATAAAATATTCCAATTACTTTCATGTTTATATGTGAGTTAACTAAATTACTTTTTACTGCACAAAAATGTATGTCATTCACATGATTATTTGATATTGTACAAAATGTAGGTCATTTACATAAAACATAATTGTTATGACTCTTTATCAATGTGCTATTTCCATTTATAATTATACCACCTGGATGAGGTAAGCACAAGAAAACATTGTAGTTAAAATACTACCTTTGGTGTCTTTTTTAACGAAAGATTTATCCACAGTACATAATTAATCCTTTGAAAATCGAATGGCTGCAGAAAGCAGAGTAATTTTCAAAATGAACTAGCTGATTATTAATGTATGTACTTCCTAAATCCATGGCACTTAACAAATAGGTATTAAATTTTCAAAAAGAAACATGAAACTTTTACAAATATTTCTCTATACTTGTCATTTCTGTTGTGAAAGTGAGCTTAACTTCCCGTGGTTGACCATATGACTCGTCAGAGCTTTAAAGTCAACTCTGAACTGAATTTTGAGAAAAGGTAGATATATAACGATAATGTTATGGTTAGTGGTGTTTGAAGCATTCTAATCACAGTATTTTTATGTGTCAATGATTTAACTTTTCATCTTTGGCATGAATTGATCAACCATGATCAACCATGACAAAAAAGGTCACTATCCTTCTGACTTGGCTTAGTAAACAAAGAGGCAACCTTCAGATAAATCACCAATGGGACTAGTGTTATGCTCATGATCAAAAAGTCAAAGATAAAAAATGAAAACCTCTCTTGACGAGAGGTATACTGCAGCTGGTATTTACCTGGGTTACAGACTCCCCACCCCTAGAAAATAAGTTGTCCTCAAATAGATGTTCAGGGGTTACGGTGATAATTATGGGGCATGTGTAAGAATTATTCCAAAGTCCCTTCATGCATTGCAAGCCAATATACATTCATGTAGCGGTCATCATCTATTTTAATGTCTCCTCTAGGATTCGAACCAAGGTCTTGCGGCTTACTGGTCTTATGCACAATCTATCTAGCTAAAACGAGAATATCTTTCTTGCCGAGAGGTATATTATGCCAAGTATTTATCAGTGTTACATTTACAGGTAATTACTGAAGCCCAACTCGACTGCAAATGCTAATTAACGGGACTAGTAGTGACTGATGAGAAAAGGGGAGGGGGCACAAGCATTGAGTATATACCCTCCATAGGCATCTTCAAACGCATCATCGTCGTCGTCTCCACTACTAGCATGCACGGAATAAAATCCAGGACTCCGTCGACGCTTCTTTTGTGTTTCCAACTGCTGTCTGAGTTCTTTCACCTCCGCTTTCAGCTCACTGATGGATGTAGACAGTCGCTGGATCTCCCGGAGAAATGTGCCCGTTATTTTTAAGTAGAGAATTGTTCCACCTAATCCAAGAAATATGCCTGTCCCCAAAGCACCAAAGAATGGGGAATTTGGTCGCAGAAGGGAGGACATTGTGAAGTCGAAAAGCCAATTCAAGACGAAACGAAACGAAACTACATTGAAGTCGAACCCCAACGGACTCGAACCGGAAGTAGAATACTGTCACATAACGCCCCCTGTAAACAAACAACAGCCAAAAAACCATCATCATATTTAGACTTACAAACCTAAATGTTTTAGTGCAAAACTTTTGAAATAACTAACAATTCGTTTAAGTAATGTTATTTGTTTGTTTAATGTCATAATTAGAGTAAATTGTAATTAGTTTCGTTTAATTGTAGACGTTAAGAAACCCAACAGATAATATCAATTTAGTCGCTAGGAAAAGACAAGCGCAATAACTCTAATGAAAGTTTACATACCAACTTCCGGTCATCTGTCAAAAAACCAAAAACTTCGAACATGCCGTATGTTCTTATCAGCACTCAAATCCGTTTGGTAAGGATGTGGAATGTTATTATGTACTAAATCAGCGGGATATTTGTGTGCATTATGGTCGTCTTACATGTCATTTAAAGAAAACAGATGATGATATGCGAAAATCGATCAAGAATATTTTAGAGAAACTTCTCGGTGACTTCAAGCTTATCTAACCACTCGATATTGTCCAACAAGGTTATAACCACAATAACAACTCTTCTGATTACATGTATGTAGTACAAACCCAAACTCAGAAATTGGACATTCTATCTGTGAAATAAACCTATTATCTTTTGTATATTATCAGTTGATCATACTGTACAAAATACTAAAATGCATGTATTTATCTAACGTCACGTTATTCAATATGATACATTGTTGATGCAGACTATGAGCCTCTATATCCATATCAGTGCATACAACAAAATCTTACAATATAAGACACTTCCTGTGTCAAATACACAATATTCAAACTAAAATTCAAAATTATTTTAACACGTTTACAATACTAATCTAAACCAATTTCAAACTGTATAATATCAGATGAATTTATTACATGTAAATTCAGATGAAGACTGTTCCATATGTCAACAACACGGAAAGTAAAGATTTTTTCCTATTTTCAAGGTTACAGTGTTTTGTAAAAAGTTTGTGAACAGTTAACAATACCTCTGTAGACTTATTCTTCAGACTAAACAGAAGTAGTAAAAAATATTTACAACATAGGAATAAAAAAAAACATAGCCATACATGTAGCTATAACATACGATCAAGACAAGAGCAACACATCATAGAAGTATATATAGAGGGAGGGGGATAGGTAGAATTATAAAAAAAGGAAGAACAAATTTTAGCACAAAATTTAACACTGCCACAATTATATGTACATTAGTAACATAGAATAATTATAATAATATGGAAATACTTTTGTTATTACTTCTTATGGATATTTTTTCACATACTGTATCAAAAAATTAATGAAGCATCGGTGAATTCATTGATTTGTCCCCTACTTTATAGGAAAGTGGTCCAACAGTTGTTGGAGATGAGTGGAGCGATAAGAAGCTGATGGAACATCTTGGTGCCTCCTTGATGAAGACACTGGGAAACAATTTGTATGAAATTTTTAGTAATTCTTGTATATAAGATAAATAAATGAAGCTTATTGTAAGTCTATCAGCAAGTTGCAAGTGTTTACAAGTTGAAGATATCTCAGTCAGCCAATCAGATAACATTTAATGGTGAGAAAAGGCAAGGAACATTTGTAAAGAGTTTTGATAATATCAGTATTAGAGAAATTAAGGTTTCCAAAGCCCATTTCCTGTTATTACAAGAATACTTTCTTAAAGATTTACCTCAACACTTAACTTTCTTTGCCCCTTTCCCACCTTTTTTACAATCTAAGGGTAAAAATATAATGTTGCACATCTTCTACTGAGGTAAATTGGGTTTTGATTAGGTTGCATTAGGTAAGGCCTGTTTACATGAAGATTTGGTCGGGTACATTTACATGGAGGTTGGATTGGATAAACAACTATTTGACTTACTGATTAAATGTAATTTAAAGACAACATGCATATCATATAAAAATAAGTATGTAGTAACTTGATCAAAATGTAAAAGTTATTGGAAAAAAATACATTTTCAATTCCTGATCAAATAATTTGAATTTATGGAATGATGGACAAAACTTATAAATTTAAAACTTTCAATTTCTATCCAATATAACCCTAATACATTGATGATCATTTTATGATTTTATTTCTACCACTGTGTCATTTCATGGTTATGAAGTGCTAAATATTGGTTGTTGTTAATAGTATGGAGTATCGGACACCTGACCCTCCAAGGATGGTACTGGATAAGCTAGAGAAGTTGGACTATCATGTGGTGTCCATGACTGGAGTGGGTCAGACCTGCATCTGGACACTTCATAAACCTGACCACAACATATCAGATAAAAAGGCTACCATATCTAAAGGTGACAGTTGATAGGAACTGGGCTACGTGAAATGGAGATAAGAACATTATGGCAAACATATAATGGGAAAAGACTCGCATCATTAGGCAACATGTACTTATACAAAGCATGAGGAACACTGTATGGTATAAACATAAACCAACATATACAATAAATTTACATAGCAGGAAAGTTATATTGGACTCACAACATAATACATACCCTGGTACATAGCAGGAATGTTATACCCTTGTACATAGCATTAATGTTATATTGGACTCACAACATGATAAATACCTGGTACATATCATTAATGTTATTTTGGACTCCCAGCATGATACATACCTGGTACATATCATTAATGTTATATTGGGCTCACTGCATTGTATATACCTAGTTACATAGCAGGAATGTTGTAGTGGATTCACATTATTATACATAACCTGATATATAGCAGGAACATTATAGAGGACACTTAGTATTATACATACCCTGGTACACAGAAGGAATGTTATAGAGGACACTCAGTATTATACATACCCTGGTACACAGAAGGAATGTTATAGAGGACACTCAGTATTATACATACCCTGGTACACAGAAGGAATGTTATAGAGGACACTTAGTATTATACATACCCTGGAACACAGAAGGAATGTTATAGAGGACACTCAGTATTATACATACCCTGGTACACAGAAGGAATGTTATAGAGGACACTCAGTATTATACATACCCTGGTACACAGAAGGAATGTTAATAAAGTAGAAGATACACAGTGTTACACCCTGTCACACATTCATCAGGAATATTATTAAGACTCACAGTATTTAATTTTATCATATCATGGGACCACAATAAATTCACAACTGATTTTGCCTGAAAACTGTATAATTATACTATACATAGCATGGTTATAATTTATTGCACAAGAAACATATTCTTGCCATATATCAAATCATATTACTTTGAATGTGATTTATGAAACCTCAACAAGTATGAAACAAATAGGTGTTCATAGATTCAGAAGTTCAAAATCGGAAACCCTATGGCTTCATGTCCAAAATCTAAATATGATAACAATTCTCAAAAGTGACTTGGCATATTGCTGAGCATTTTAATGATGGATGACTTCGAATATTGCTGAGCATTTTAATGATGGATGACTTTGAATATTGCTGAGCATTTTAATGAAGGTTGATTGGGAAAATTGCTGAACATTCCAATGAAAAATTACTTGGTATATTGCTGAGCTTTCCCATGTTGTCAGTTTTTGTCTAGATTATGTCTTTAGACATTTTATTTTGCGGATTTATTATTGTATCAGTATGGTGTTGGGGTTTTTTTTGTCTGAAAGACGGTGTAGGTTGTAATGGTATGAGATGGGAAGTGATGAAGGTCTTGATTGTAGGAGAGATAGTGTAGGTCGTAACTGTAGGTGAGAAGGTCTAGGTCATAACCGTAAGATAACTGATGTAAATTGTACATGTAATAGTGCAATTGTAGGAGAGGTGATGTAAGTGGTATTTGTATGGATGATGGTGTAGGTTATAATTGTATGACTGTTCAAGAAGACAAACTTCATATGTTTTGTATGTAAGTAGCTAATGTGGATCTGATCTTCTGGAAACTCTACATAAGATTTTAGAAATGTATTGTGTATGTCAACAATAAATATCTATTATCATGGTAAAAAGTACTTTCTCGTTTCTGTGTACATGTATTTTTGAATCAAACGCCAAAAGTAGGATTAGCTTTGAGATGAACTACAATTACAAAACCAGAATTACACTGCGGTACATGTAGAAATACCCAATTACAAAACCAGAATTACACTGTGGTACATGTAGAAATACACAATTACAAAACCAGAAATACACTGTGGTACATGTAGAAATACACAATTACAAAACCAGAATTACACTGTGGTACATGTAGAAATACACAATTACAAAACCAGAATTACACTGTGGTACATGTAGAAATACACAATTACAAAACCAGAATTACACTGTGGTACATGTAGAAATACACAATTACAAAACCAGAAATACACTGTGGTACATGTAGAAATACACAATTACAAAACCAGAAATACACTGTGGTACATGTAGAAATACACAATTACAAAACCAGAAATACACTGTGGTACATGTAGAAATACATCATGTAATACCCGTCAGCTATGAAGGTCTGAACAAATATCAGAGTTCTATTACAGCTGTAGTTTTTATTGTTTTGACATGTCAAAGAAATCATCTTACAAAAGGTAACTTGGATGATGTACACATTATACAATTGTCCAGACAAATATCTAGCATACTTATTAAGAAAATAAAGTGTTTGATCCCATCATTCATACAATAAATGTACAACTGAAGAGGAACACTGGCAAGTTGGAGCCAGTTTCATCTCTTTTGACCCCAACCTATAATCCCCTGGGGTCATTCATTTAAATGTGCATAACATTAATCTGTCATCTCAGAGTTCTAACCAATTCAAATTTGAATTACATTTTTTTGTTATTTCTAAAAGAATGAATGATTAACTCATTTTCATTTTTTATATATCAACTAGAGTATCATTATCCCCTCCCAAGGGGTAATGCGAGACCCTAGGGTCGCAAAATCCACAATGTTTGGGAAACGTTTTCAAAACCCTTTTGTCGACCAAGAACATTTAATTCTACCATGTTTTGGTTTTGGAAGATTTTGGAAATTTTGTCTCGCTTCTCATGCCCTCATGATAGACGACCGTATGATTCTCTATTTTGGTTCACCTTTAGCCATCGAATTTGATAAAGTGGAAACTGTCGTCTTGTTCATGGACGCACGACGCCGGCCAAAAGGCGATTGCATTACGTCACCGGATCAAAATCGATTCCGGACTGTATGTGATGCATCAAGAGAGAGAGAGAGAGAGAGAGAGAGAGATTCAGATGACAGTGGAAACAAGAGTAGCGATAACGATAACATATAACGATGAAATTAAATAATATTATGTCATCTTTGACATCATATAATATGATGATAAAGCGAAATAATATGTATTGACAAAAATCAAATCACATATTGATGGAATCATTTAATATAACGACAAAATCAATTCTTACAGTGTTTACTATTCCATATGTGGCAGCTATGGCGTTCCACAGAGATATAACATGAAATGTTTTCTTTCGTCTTGTTTAAGAACAGCCGTCACGGCTTCGACAAACACTCCGTGCGTCACATGGACGGATCAACTTGGATAGCTACATATAGGTCAAAAGTGCATATACATACTTGATCAGGCTATTAAAGACACGGGATAAAAAATCTCCATCAAAATCGAATATTTTCTGATGTAATGAATAGTAATTAAAACGTAATGGGAGTATGTTATAACATAGTCTGGACATCATATAACACACGGGAAATTACTCTTTTTCGCTGTGTAAATCGATATGTTTGACAGTGACCAAAAAATCGATACGTTCAAGAGGGAAAATTGAACTACAAAAACAAAGAAAGAAACAAAACCATCTATTTCCCTATTGAATTGAGTCACAATCTCTGGACAAGAGGGATAGAGGGAGTTGGCAGGCCATTCATTTATGCAAAATTAAGCACTCTTCATCTGAAGACGCTCTAGACAAAATTTGGGTAACATCTATTCATCCTCAAAGAAGCTTTGCACCATTTGATACAAAATCTTTTATGCTATCTCTACTTTCACCTTTTCTGTCCAAGTGGTCTGCCCATAATACTGGTGTAATCAATAATGCGATAAGAAATGTGAATATTATTGACATTGAATTTTAGTCTCAGAAAATTTCGGTCTAATATATAGGTTTTAGAATCTTATCAAAACTTAGAGGAAAGGAAATTGGGATATTGATTTTGTATAAATAATTTGTATTCTTTTCACCGCTCCACACCCCCACACCCTACTTCCTTCCGTTTAATAGCCAGAGGAGCGGAAACCAATGAAGGCAATAGAACAAACTGTATCTATCTCTCTAACACAAGATTTTAATCACAAGTCCAGACATTTTTCCCTTTTTCGACATGCAAACAGACACAAAACTAGTTTACGTGCGGAAATGTATACTGAAACTGTATATATAAGTATGATTCCAGGTGAGTTATATATATATATATATATGTGCGTCCTTTAATTGACAGTGGCGTTTATAGACTTTGGTACACACTAGTTACAATTTTTCCGAATTATACAGCGATTACATGTTTTATGTGACTGTTATTGCCAGTAAAGGGTTCCATCTGTAACAATGAATTTACACGTTGAGAACTACGTGTGGTTTTGTTTACGTCGTTGTATTCATCTTGATGGTTAACTAGCTGCGTGATCGAGCCACGACTAAGCATCGACACAAATCTAAAAGCCTGCTTTCTTAAAGTGCGTTACAATTAGAAGATACTGGTTTCTTGTGTGTCTGCGACATTTTCAAAAATATAAAACCGGATTATGTAGTGAAACACTTTGACAACAGCCGTTTCATTCTGCTGAAATTCCATTAACTGATATGCGATGTATGTTTATCATTTGAACAAAGTTGGGAGCAGCTTACCCAGCCTCTACGCTTTGTCATGCAAAACAATACGAAAAGTTGTTTAAGAGTTTTTGAGATAGCCGCCATGTTGGAATATGATAATAGTGAATTTTATATGTCTTTTACATGATAAAAATTCATAACCCTTTATCATGGTATTCAACGTTAATACGTATTGGTAAGATAATCTGATATCTGAATAACAGATGTAAACCTCTCTTCCATTCTTACCTGTACCTTACCTGTAACAATGAATTGCTTCCTTTCACAGATTTAATGCCGATGCCATGACATTATCAGAATATCCTCACCTAAAACAAAGAGTGTTTTTCTAAAAGTAACATTAATTAGTATCTGGCATGGCATGGGAAAGGGTTCAGTTGAATTACACGTCATCAGATTTGTGTTTGGTCTCGCACCTGTAGCTTTTTCGCAATGCATTAAACCATAAACGGCTGGGTACCTATGCGTGAAATATGTACATTTTTATATGATTCCAGACAACTTACATTGTTTACGTCTTAAATTTATTAGACGTGATCATTTGTAATGAAATGGGGAAATAAACATATGTAAGATTATTTTTGTATGTTCGTGGCTTTAAACTTTGCGAGTACCTGTTTAGGGAAGGTTGTTACCTTATACGAACACAATTCAACACTCCTAACCGTCTATGTACTTTAAGGCAAGGTAGGAGGGATCTGACGCACAACCGTCAATTTACACTTCAAGATTCCAGATTCAGGGTTTCTAACTTATACAACCACAATTTAACACTCCCAATTATCTATGTACTCTTAAGTCAGGTCATAGAGTTGACGCACAGCTTACGCCTCTGCGTGTATGTCACAAATATTACATTGGCGGTCATCACCCGTGGTTATGGCAGGCGGCAGGTGTAGTTGAATGTAAACAGATTAGTATGTAGATATTCGTTTACATGATGTTTTGACATTGTAGCTTAATGCATGTAAAATCTATAGTCTTTACATAATACATCCGATCTAGAGCTTTAATAGTTCTTACAGTTTAGTTGACAGTCGATGAATTTTAAACAGACATGTCTTTTTTTCAAAGATATATATAATCCTCCTCCTCCTCCTCCTCCTCGTCATCATCATCATCATCATCATCATCATCATCAAAGTTGTTGATCATTTGAGAACTGTTACTTGAGAACTGTTACAAGATTCATGGGAATGGTGTTTCTTCGACGATAGGTCTTCACCAGACAATATTGTTCAAGAACAGAGCCTAAATCATTGTATCCAAAGCTGACAATATTATTCTGATCATTGGCTTATACTGTTCACCCCTTAAATAAAAAATGAAAAACTCTATAATTTCTTTACTTCTAGACCACTTGATGTCAAATAAAATATTAAGCTTGTAAGAACGAATCGCTTCCTTTCATTGTCTTGTTCTTTTTACACCAAGAAAAACAGTTTCTTTTTATGAAAAAGATTGAACATATTTCAATAAAAAAAAAAATACCTAGTAGTGACGTTAATGTCTCTACCAAAGCTAGTACTGTAATATTATTTCTCATTTCAATCCATGTGTAAAAGCGTGCGTACATTCTAATAATGCCGACTACTTTCACATACTCCCTCATTTCTGTAGAAACAGAACGCAAATTTAAAATATCTGATAACATTGATAAAAAGGATAAATAAGTTTATAATTTTAAAAAATCTTCCTTATCTGATATCTGTATTTATCACGAGTCTAAATAGACATTGAAAATACGGACATTATTAGATCTTTAAAAAAAATTTCCTCGATTTCCACTTAACGCCTCATAAGTTATTTATGATGTGTAAACCACAGGCACTCGAGACCAGGATATTATTTTTTAAACATTGATTTTTGTTTTAGCACTATGACTGACGTTATTTAAACGAAATATCAGCAGAATTCAAGTTTATGTGCCGGTTGACAAATCCGAGGTCCACGGTCATTAAAAATACACAAGGCAAGCAACTCCAGATTTTAAAAAAATCGACCCCTCGCTTGGAAACTGGCTCAAAAAAAGTAGTTATGATAAGTTCCTTGTAAAACAATATGTATCCGTAGGTAGTGTGTATATTTACCTTTTATTTGGTGCATAACATTACAGGCAACGAGAAATTCACAATACGTACATGAGATTAACATCTCAATAACCGGAGATTTTATCGTCTATGTAATTATCTTTGACGGAAGTAACATGCCATTTCAAGGGCGGTCACTCCGACTTTTTGGGAGAGGAGTTCCGGATAGCACTATACCAGTGAACAGGTAAGAAAGGTTCCGATGTCATTACGCGCGTAACTTCAAAATAGATATTTTTATTTCTACAAATACATTTGCGGGGATGGAAAAATAATGGCTGGGCAAAGAAAGTCCACATTTGCCAACTCGGATACAATATCATGGTAAGGGATTATACAGAATGCATCAACTTTCAATCAAGCTGGCGGTAATGAGAATTTAAAAAAAAAAAAATAGAAAAAAATCATGCAGATAATGAAAAAAGGGCGCAATTTATGAAAAATATCGTGGGGGAAATATATTAACTTAGAAATTGGAAATTAAATGATTTTTTCCATAATGATTTTTGTCAAGTTATTGAGAATATTTGAAAAGAGACGCAATTTATGAAAAATATCGTTCCTTAGATAAAGCCCTACACCGTTTGCAGCAAAAAAAAAATACATTGACCTTTATTCAAGGTCACTTTGGTCCAATGTGTTGATTTTTTAAACGACTTATTCCGATTAACCAAAAGTCCAGGGATCATGATGTTTGTTAAAATGTTTCTTGGGTGAAGGGCAACAAAGTTTGAGAAAAGATATTACTTTGACATTATATTCAAGGTCATGGATAAACCCTTAAATAACATCTTCTGATAACCAAAAAGGCCTTGGGTCATGATATTTGGTCAGGAAGTCCATTGTATGGATGTTTGCCAAAACATACAGTACCTGTAGCAATACAAGCCCTTTGGGCCTCTTGGTTAATAAGTAATATGTATTTCTTTTCAAATATTCTCAAATGTTACAAATATTGTATCATAACAATACATGTAGTATAATGTTGTAAACATTGTATTATAACAATACATGTAGTATAATGTTGTAAACAATGTATTGTAACAATATATGTAGTATAATGTTGCAGACATTGTATCATAACAATACATGTAGTAATTTTCAAATAGTAAATAAACCACGAACTTGTTAACTGTCCCATCCTTCAAACACGAAAGCTATTTATTCTCTTCTCTTCCCGACCTCATGATATAAAACCAAATCTTTCCCTGACTGTCATTACCATCTTGGTGTCTTTCTCAGTAACTAATGTAAATGATGTGATCACGTTTAGAATGTTATCAAAACAGAACAATGTAAAATAACCGCTTTAAAACAAAAGAAATATAAAGTTAATAAAGAAACTATTAATACCATATACATGTCTTTCATTAGACCTACTACTGAATATGCCTCCTGTATCTGGGATGGTTATTCTGATGAACTATCAAACGCCGCGGAAAGATCCTAAATAGAAGCCCCTACACGTAAGAATGCTCTCTCATCTGTGGCCTCTAATGGGTACTACACCTTGAAACTAGCTGGCTTCCTCTAAGGTCTAGACGTCAGAAGTTTGCTCTTCCTTTTTCCATAAGATTTAAATAGTCAAGTGCCAGATTACCTTCAGTGTGAGTTCCGTAACAAAGATAAGTACCAACTGCCAAGATGTATATTAGATGTATTCTAAAAAATAATATATCGCTGGTACAATAACCGTGTGGAATAAACTCGATAATTCTGTAAAAATGGGTTGTTCGTCATCGGAATTCAATATGAGAATAACGTACACACCTGTTCTATCTTCATATCTAAATGCTGGTAACAAATACCTAACAATTCTGTTAGCACGAATTAGATACTTGTGCAGTGGTTTTCAATGTGATTTTTTACCATTGCTGTTACGGTAACGAGATGCGTATAATTTTGTTTTCTCATTTATTCGCAATTTTTGAATTCAAGAGTAGCTTTGTCTAATTCTCTATTAGGTATTGGCATCCAGCCAGTGTCAATATACTTCAGGGAGGAGATTTCGAGCTCATATTCCAAATTTATTCGATATCATACTGGCCGTGCTTTCACTATCAAATCCACAAAATGTTGGAAATTAGTTAGTGGATAACACAGGCAAACAGAACTTCCGCTTCTTATCTATCCGCTTTTGCTCTCGTCTTCTTTCCTTTTTTACGATCGGAGTGTTGATAAATGATGATGGGTACTAATATAGGTTTGAAATTGTTTTAAATCGTATTATTATTGGTGTTTGTGTATTGTAATAATAGGAGAGAGCCTAGTAGGTGGCAAGAACTTGTGCCCAATCCCATTGATGTATTGTCAATAAAATGTTTGAATTTAATACCATACCACATTCTACCATCCCTAGGATGTACTGCTGACCCCAGGTCCACAAAGGAAGAAACCTATAACGGATAGTAATGGACTATACTGACTCCATTGGTTACAATGTCTCCAGGTCAGTAGCAGGCGTTCTTGGATTCCTGGAGGGGAAATCAGAATATTATGCCAAAATTTCGAATGACTAAGCAGAAAGTATGTCCACAAAATGAACATAGGAGTGACTTTCACACGATATACATTTAGTGTCTCTTTTCACCAACACAATCACCAACAAAGCACTGGTATCATTCTGAGTTGCTTAAGGCAGGACTGGTCGTGACGACAGAACACCGATCTCCATGTCATAGATTCACTTGTATAAACAACAGACTTTGCGCTCCGAGATACCATCTTTCAGTAACGGTTTGGCACAGCAATGGGCAGCTCAGGGTGTCCAATTGTAGCCAAATTATTCATTGAGATTGGAGAAAGAGGCTCTAATCTCGTCTCCCTTAAAATGCAAGCCTAGTTTGTGGAAACGATATGTTGATGACATACTGAAAATAGTCGAGGAAAGGTCATAGAAGGATTTTACTGCGAGGATCAACACAGTAGACACCACCAACAGCATTAAATTCACCGTTGAGGGAGAAATCAGTGGCACTATGCCATTCCTTGACACCCTTTTTGTAAAGAAAGATGAGGGTGCTATTAAGGTATTGGTCTGGAGGAATAAGATGCACGCGGACCAATACCTCATCTTACGATCGCACCACACCATACACCAGACGTAAAACCATTGTCACAGACGAACAAGGCAAGACTCAAAAATATAACCACGCCCATTAGCATCATGGAAACATGTGTATACCCAGATTGGGCAAGCAAAGTCAACCAAGAATTTGGAGAAACAAAGGAAAGACTAAGAGACGAAAAACCAAGTAAGAGAACAGAATGAAGTACAGGTACAAAGTAGTCATGACTTGCAGGTGTTAAAATTGACATGCATTTCATTGGGTAACATTTTCAACGAATTGTTCTCCGTAACAAAGAAGACTAAGAACACGATCATTGACCAGTAGCGTGAAATCAAATGGGCTAAGAATTCAAACGAACATTTCTCAAGGTCACAAGGGTTATCAAAGCACTGCTCAATTACCACGAGGCCTAGAACAGTACTACGAGATCAGTAATATGCTGGGGTAAAAGGATATAAAGTTTGTCAAAATGAATTACCTCGACTCACATTCAATTCAGTAAGGTCAAACATGTAAACATTCATTAAAAAGACATCTGAAATAATTGCAAATCTGTTTTGGAGTATTACAGAACTCGGTGTAAGTTTCTCGTAGTTTTATTTTTATGCAGCAATTCTAACCGTTGAAAATATAAAGCCTATAGGTCATTTGTTTAGCTGATCAGATAAACTCGCAAACGATTTTAAGTTTAATGATTTGTGCATTTATTTCATTTGGTTTACCCCACCCCCTTTATTTCTGTAAAGATGTTCCATGCTTGGACATCATTGGATCCTCAAACAAATGCAACGTAACGCTATATGTCGTCGGATATTTGGCAGTTATAAGATTATAGCTCTTTATCCGGAAACTACAAATTGCTTGTTAATTTGCAATGGGACATAAAAGTGCATATATGAAAAATCAAACGACTTATTTCTCTTATCATAACAAACATCATTGGATTTCGCCGGGCGTTTCGGGTTTTACATGCACTATTACGGCCTCTCAACAATGGGTTTGTACAGTTTGACCTGGGTGAACCGGAAGTACATCAACCAGCATGGCGGACAAAAACAAACTGGATGAGATGGACAACAGTAATGTATGTGATAACAGCAAACCTGAGCTGAAAGCAGTTGGTCCAGAAGTGAAAATAGATTTTAAAACACTTTCTAATGAGACGCAAAACATCCAAGATTCTTTTAAAGTGCCAGGATTACCTGTAATACCTCAAAGTAAACATGACACCACGAAAACACCAATTGATAACACTGATAAAGTTACTACCGCTGATCCTAAAGAAGACAATGTCAAATGTGATGAAAAGAACATTTACAAAGAATCATCAAGTAAAACAACTAAACTGACAAATGAAAAACATTTGGAAGAGATTAGTAATGACAGATCTAAAAACCAATCTACTTCAAAGAAAAGTACACTTTCTCCAGCAGAACAACTAAAGCAAACACAAGTGGTTATTCCGTATAAAGAGCCTGGGTGGAGTGGCCTGCCAGGGGAGAAGTATTCATTCGATGTCCTCAAGAATGGCACAATAGTGTCTACCATCGACCTTGAGAAGCCATATTACGTTTTTGGTAGACTACCTAGCTGTGATGTTACAATGGATCACCCATCACTATCGCGGTACCACGCTGTCATACAATACTGTAAGAACACAGAGGAAGGACGGGAGAAGGGATGGTATCTTTATGATCTTGACAGTACGCATGGAACATGGATAAACAAGCACAAGACTTACCCCAATAAATATTACAGAATACGTGTTGGTCACATGGTAAAATTCGGAGGAAGTACACGTCTTCATATTTTACAAGTACGTAAGAAATAATTATACAGATGACAGAGACTGTTTTAAACACAATTGATATCATACATTAGAATAAAGCTTTAGATTGATATCTGATTTTGACATGCTGAAAAGTCATAACTGTTTAATGAAAGTTGTAGCTATATAATGTTTATATGCATCCTCATATATTGAATGTTCTAGATGAAGGACATTTTTACTTGCTCATCCTTAATCAGGAGAACCAGGGACCAACATGTGCAATGCAGGAAGGCTTATCTAATGTTATTAGCTTTTTTTTTTATTGTTAGTTCGCTGAGCTGTGAATTCATTGAAGCCCCATCTCTTCACAGATATTCTCTGATTGAATCTATTTATGCCAGTGTCTCTTTCACTTCTAGCCTAGCTAGCTGGGAATATAGCTAGTATGCTTAATACTGACCATATCCAGACCATAGCCATTTTGTCAACCAGTGAGAAAGGAAGCTCATTTCCATGAAAAAAAATTTATGAGTTAATTGGAATAATTTATAAAAAAAATATGCCGTAAAGTGAAACTTACTCAGCTTTTTAATGTCTAGATACAATATTCTTTATATTTGGAATTGAATGTAGTTATGAATATCAGGTAATATTTGAGATGTTAACAAACAATAAATGATTTGAATAACTTCTTTCCTTCCATGTATTGATGATATGAAATGTCCAATGAATAAATGTGTTCCCTTAGGGTCCAGATGAAGACACAGAAGAAGAATCAGACTTGACACCTACAGAGATGAAGGAACAGCGAGACAGACAGAAAAAAGAAGCAGAGATACTACGCCAGGCAGAGATAGCTGCTGAGGAACGGAAACTAGAGGAATTGAAAAGAATAGAGGAAGCTAGGGGATGTTCTTGGGGCATGGGTAACTGTTGATTTATTCTTTCATATCTGAATTATCTTTCATGATCTCTCTTTATCCATGTAAACCTGTACAAACCACAGAGATAGTGCAGGGCAAATAAAGGATAAATGGACATGTGTTATCTAGAACAGTTTACTATAATAGTGAGTGTCTGCTCCTCAGAATCTTCTTCATTGCATATACATCATATAGATTTATAAGATGTATTCTGCATAGATTAATATTAATTGATTATCTCTTTGCTTTTTGTAAGATTAGTTGTATATTCAGTAAAATGAATACTACAATATACAACCATAAATTTGTGAAACAGGTGATGATGCTGCTGACGAAGAAGATGAGGGAGAAAAAGGAGAAAGTGTAATGGAACATGCTCTGAATATCCTTACTCCAGAAAGTGAAGCACTCTATATTAATGACCCAAAGAAAGCTCTGAAGGGATACTTTGAAAGAGAAGGTAAATAGTTTCAGTGTAGGAATGAACGCAATCATGTAATTTTACTTTTGATAAAGAAGGTCATGAAAAAGTTCTGAATACTTCGAATAGTGTATGTATCCAACTTACTTCAGCATTGAGGAAATATTGGTATCAGTATAAATATTCTTTGATGATAAAACACAACATTGTTCAGCATACCTATCTCTTTGTAAACAGATAGAGATTAGTAGCTCCAGTATTAGAACATGTAGTGTTAATCCATTAGACCTCATGTACTCTAGGTATCTTATACAGTTTGTAACCAAATCTAAAAAAGTGATAGATCATTGGAGCTGTATGAAAGGTGGTTAAGTCTGTTGATTATAAACCATCTAAATACTTTGACATTACTACATACTTTATTCAGTAATGGAAAACAAATCTAGCACTGTATTGATATCGTGTTTGTACTGGGTTCACAGGTTGTGAAGAACCTGAATATGAAGTGGTGGAGGCTGGAAAGGGGAAATACAAGTGTACTGTGGAGTAAGTAATGTAAAATGAAATGAAAAGTGACATTTTATTGAAATCTTTCCAATGAAAACTTTGATTATTCCAAAATCTTGTGTGATTCAGCAAATGACTGTAATTCCATTGTATGTCCCTGCTCTGAAATTTACAGCCAAGATATATCATGTTTCCTGTAACAGTCAATTTGTCATAATTTGATTTACTGAACTGAAATTAATTTTGTGCTGTAAAAGGACATATACCTGTACAGCACTTTGTGTAGGAATTTTGCAAGCTAGTCCAGAACATCATTTCCAAAATTTTGATGAGTCCCATTACCAAAAGGTATAGTGCATGTGGGTCCTCAAAATTTAGGGAAGTCCAGCTGGAAAGCATAAATCAAGGACTCAAATATCTAAAATTACTGCTGTAAGTTTAAGGACAAGGGCCTATACCTGTTTGAAATTTGTGGAAAATGACAAAGTGCTTGAACCAGTTATGTCAGTTGTTGCAAAAGAGATTCTTATGTATGTAGGTTGTGATAAAAAAAACATACATATGAACCTGTATGTTGACTGGAGAAATTAATGTAACAACAAAAATGTCCCTGAACTGTTCATGTTTGGAAGTAGAATGATTTTGTACCTTCAGCATCAATTTTGAAATGAAGATACAAAGGTATATTATGCTGTTTTGTGAAATAATGACTAACATTAATTTATCACTTTGCTAACATTATGTTTTCTTTTACTTAAGGTTGCCAGTGGATACAGCAGCAGGAGAGCCAATGGTTGCAGAGGCAGTTGTGTCAGGTAAAAAGAAGGATGCTGTGGTGCAATGTGCTTTGGAGGCTTGCAGAATGCTGGACAGACAGGGCCTTCTCAGGGCTTCAAAACATGGTAAGTTATATATGTTCTGCATGAATGAACTGCCAGGACGTACTGGCATTGTGTGATAGCTTCAGATAAAATTATCATGTTTCATTATTGCATCGTACCTCCAATTAAAGTAGAAGGTGAATGCAAAGTAATTACTTTGTGTTTCTGTCTGTGTGTCCACAGTATAAATCTCCAATTACTTGTTAACATGGTAATAATGTTATCCATTGTTTGATGTTCTTGCTGAGATAATAAAATCAGTTATGGTTTATGTCACATAATGTAATGTAATTTATGCTTTGTAATATGTAAAACATATATGTCTGTTTGTATAGTCATTGTTATTTGGTGTGTATATACTGTTTCTGATGTACATGTACAGCTGTATTTTGTAATCTGTATAACGTCAGTGTGTTGGTATATAAGGGTGTGTCAAGGTAAATTAAAATGTTTGTCTGATACCACAGTTAGATTTCAAACTTGTGTAAGATTTACTTAATTTACAGAAAGTAGGAAAAAGAAAAAGAAGAATTGGGCTGATGATGACTACTACGACAGTGATGATGATATATATCTTGACCGTACTGGAGACATAGAGAAGAAACGGAAACAGAGAATGAACAAGGCAGGCAAGAGTGAGGAAGCAACACAGACCTATGACATGCTGGTATGAAGCAACTGACATCTCTCATTGTAGAGTTATTTAAACTTGTAACTTAATATTTTGCTAAATTAATGACATTTATATTTAAATAAAGTATCTACTGTTTTAACTGAATATTGCAAGTTTTTCCATCAACCAAAAGAAGTGAAAGGTAATGTAGTTTAGGGGATACATTTTCTCATCACCTATTGCTTAAACCTTAACTATCAGGGTATTTTACACCCTAAATACACAATTTTACTTATCTTATGAATAACATTAGTAGTATTATAAAAATTGTTTATAATAATAGTTTAAAAAATGAATAAATGAAATACTCTTTTATGAAAAAATGAACACTTCTGTATCTTAATGAAGAATGAATCTAATTATTTCAATACAGTGTATATGATGACAATGGCATTGAAACATGTATGATTATACTTTAAATTTTCATCCTTTTTTCATATTTTCATTTGTTGTAGGCATTTCCTTTATAAAATGTTTATCATATTTAATTTTTTTTCTATTTAGTAATGTACAGTGTAGTTGAGCTTTAAGTCATGTATTTACAGATAGAAAAGCATCAAAACATTGTACAAGAAATACAAGAAATAGAGACAAAACTGGACAAGGCAAAAGCAGGTAAATCATTTTCCCTCCCATTATCACTAAGACAGTCTACAGAGAGCAATGAAAAATTGTTTTACCAAGATTAGTAAGATTATGGTAAAGGAGAAAAAGGGACTGCTAGTCAATTCTGGCAAGTAAACCAAACACAATAAGTTATATTACAAGGTAGTTACTTCATGGTATTTAATGAGTTAGACAGGTCTCCCTCTTTTTTGCATGACATGATTTTAGACTGCAGGGAAGAGCAAGAATACTATTTAATGAAATCAGAAAAAAAATTAAAGTTTCCTCCTTAAAATGTGATTGTAGAGTAGGGATATTTTTGGTCTGCCTCACAAGAGAAAGAGGAACAGTAATTAATTTCTCATTCACTCTGTGGTTCTTTTATTTTTAGGGTGGTACATAGTGAACTAATTCAGTCGTCACAATAGAGAAACAACCTTATTATACTGATGCTTAGGAATCTTACCTGTTCTTGTTAATCTGGTTTCTTTTCGCTGAAAATTAAACTTTTTCTTGTAGAAGCAGCTGCGGCCATGACAGAAGGGGAGGTGGATGCCCTTGATGCATACATGTCTGCCATTAAATCCGGCATGATGGACACCAAGACCAAGATGAAGTTGAAACGTCAACTCATGGAGCTGAAACAAGAGGAACAGAAAACACGCAAACTTGTCAACATAGCTAAACCTGCCATGCTGCCTGAACTAAAAAGGTACAACTAGAGGTCTTGTTCATAGTGTGCCTAATGTCTAGGTCATGACCAGATCACATATAGCTAACAATACGATAACAATATTCTTTCGTCAATGTATTTAAGGAAATTGTAGACATTTTAGTTCAAGCCTTGCTTGGAAACAAGTATGGACATCCCAAGTTAAAAAAGGCATGCAACCTGTCAAACCAGTTATCATCATTACTTCATTGACTGCCCGATGTGACCCTAAAGATGTGCATTTTGTCACCAGAGGACCTTGAAGTGGCATAAAGATGATCAGTACTTCTTCACTTCCCAAATTTAGGTTAAGAAAATAAAATAAATTTGATAAAACTTAAAACAGCAAATTCCATTCCATCAGATATTTCCTGAAACATGTGCATGTGTACTAAACACTATACATGACCAGTTTTACTATGTCACTGTTGCTCTTGAAAAATGTTGTATAACATATCATTATTTGTGTATGTTTTCTCTGTCTTTGTCATGTGAATGCTTGACTAGTAAAACACATGCAAAATGTTGAACTGTTGAAGACTGTAAATTTGACCAGGGAACTTTTTTTTTACTGAAAGAAATAACTGGAAATAGTAAAGCTTACAACACAGGAATTTATTTCTATTCTCTGAAAGAACAAGATAGGGTTTCCCACTGATCACTGGAAATAGTAAAGCTTACAACACAGGAATTTATTTCTATTCTCTGAAAGAACAAGATAGGGTTTTCCACTGATCACTGGAAATAGTAAAGCTTACAACACAATTTATTTCTATTCTCTGAAAGAACAAGATAGGGTTTCCCACCAATATTGGATCAGATTTAGACAAACATTTAGATATCATGATTATATGGCAATAAGACTGACCATACCTGGTAACATACCTACCCATTTCAAGTACTCTTCACTAGAATTAAATGCATTTTCTGGTAATAAGCCCATCGCCTGACTTTGAGTCAGACTTTGTATGTTGACCTGGGTTTATGCTGGTTAGTTAATCAGTGTATAGGTTTTATTTAATGGCAATTTTTATGGCCAAGTCAACTTAGATAAAAGGATGACGAAAGTAAAACATTGATTTCTTTAAATCTTTTTTAGACCAGATCCCTCTCTTACTAAGAAGGCTGATGTGAAAGGACTTCCAGCTTTTGGAAAGATAAAAAGTCTGCAAAAAGTCAATAAAAAGACTTCAGCACCAGTGGTAAGTTTTTGTGATTGGTAACTCCTGAGAGACAGTACCAACTACTTCTTTAAGCTTCTTTTATCTGATGGCAATATTCTGGAACACTTTGGAACAAAAATTGAAAATGGCAAGAAGATGAAATTGATAAAATTAAAATAGAAAACTACTGACCATGTACCTTGTTTAATTTCACACAGAACATTCCTATGAGGTTTGACAATAACAAAATGAAAGATATGGAAGAGGAGGAAGAGGAAGAAGAAGAAGATGAAAAAGCTATTTCAAAAGATGAGTTAAATACTAAAATCCAAGATTCTGATGTAAAACAAGGTTTAAGTGCTGCCAAATCAGTGATAGTGACTGTGAACAAATCTAGTGAGGTGAAGGATTCAGACAGATCTGATGGGTCACAACCCAAACAACAGAGAGCTGCCCGTCCTGAGATGTTAGAGGATGACAAGGATGTGACAGAGAGTGTACAGACCTCTATGTGTGGAACTGTTCTCAGTCGCACACACAACAATGTAAACACAACGGATGAAATCAGTGATGTATCACAAAGAGTGAAGGAAAGTGAGGTCACTGATCTGCAGACACCACAAGTAAAACGTCAACACAAAACAGAATCAACAGATGTAAGTATATCTCTACAGTTAATGGGTCATTCTCTTTTAGGTGTAAAATAATCTATTGCATAAGTACACCTCCATGTTTGGAACCTGACAAGTAGCAAGTAGAAAGAGAGTTCATGCTGGTAGCACACTGTTAGCATGTTAGAGAATATTTCAGAAAAAGTGCTGGACTATTTTAGTTTTACATTTTATCACGTCATGACCAGCACATACAACGGTCTGTCTCTATTTCATAATGTACATGTATATTTCGAAACATCTTAGCCATCATTCGGAGCTGTGTAATTAAATTATTGTTTCCATTCTTTTCTAAAGATAGCAGATATAAGTCACCCCTGGTAAAGTACTAGATATTTTCTATAATGAGTATCCATTCAGAAATTATTTCTCTGTAGCTCAATCAGTAGAAAATTTGTCTAGTAAGCCAGAAGTCCATGGTTCGATCCCTATCATAGACATTGAAAAGATAATTTCCTGTTTAAATACAGTCCTAAATATGATTGTACTATATAAGAATGGACAGTATTCTTTGTATATCCTGTACAGTGTGTATTTTAATTGTAATGAAAAAAGGAAGATGAGAGGAAAGAGGGCACAAGCTATTAGGGTACATTATCATTGTATGTTAAGAGTTCTTTAGAAGTGTTGAGGTATGTAGGTTTCATTCATACACGATTAATTATGACCATGTTGTTGATAAATAGAGGATTGGGGTATGTAGGTTTGCATACATATGAGATTAATCAACTTTCTTAGAATTTTTAATTAGGTTCGGTAAAAATTTTAAAATTCAATTTCATAATCTGATATCGAATGGAAAGGAATATAACATTTTTTATCATAAAGCTTCAGTACTTTTGCAAACATTTGGGAAAAAAAGCATTTTATTAAACTGAATCAAAAACTAAATTGTTGATTTTGTCACTCCATGTTTCCTTCTTTGGTGATGTCACAATACACATGATGCCATAAAAATATTCATTCAGTCAAAGCTCACTTATTTATAGATCATATTACACAAGTGTGATAACAGAAAATTGTGTAATGGATGGTATTACATTGATAGTGTTACTCAGCAGGTTACTACTGATAGACACTGGTATATATATTCTATGTGTTAGCAAACAGACAGTTTGATATTAATGTTTTACTTTAGAGGAAAAGTAAGAAAAGAAAACCGGATCTTGACCAAGTAGGAGGAACATATGACAGTACAGACCCTGACTATGCAGTGTGGGTGCCACCATCAAGTAAGTATCAGATATCTACATATTATATCAGTTGTATTATGTTGTTCTCCAAGCCAAGAAAGGGAATTGTGTTTACTCTGTTGTGTGACCATCATGATATCTGTTTGTTGTGTCAACCTTTTCTTTACAAAGTTTGGTTACCTTGACTTGCTGGTTTTGAGTGCTAAGAAATTTTTAAAAGTGAAATTACTTTTAAATTGTCAAAATGCACAAGTAATTACCGAAGGACCTTGTGTACTAATACAAGTATTTGTCAAGTTAAACATACATGTACTAACATAAGTGATAGCAGTTTATAAAGATATAGTCAAGATTACAGTATAACACCACCCGATTTGTTTCACAGTTAAATGACTTCTCCGGAAGAATTGAAGTTATTTTTTGTCTTTCTGATTTATATTTTATATCATTCTGTACAAAAGTTTTGAAACAAATGACCTTGACTTATTTTCACTGAAGTAAAATCTATGAAAAGGCTTTTGGACAAAATAATTCTTTGACAGTCATAAGATGATACAGTAACAAGTAATTATGTATATTAAACATAGCATTTTAAGTGATTTGCCTGTGTGAAACATTCATATCAGTTAATATTCTATGTAGTTGTCACCATTCTGTATAGGAAAAAGATGTAAATACCTGTATTAGAGCTGGCAAGTTTATATTAACTGGATTTAATTCTTAGAACCTGTTGGTACTATATCATATTATTTGTATATTGATGGTGTTACCTTTGATCTTTTGTATATTGATGGTGATACCTTGGATCTTTTGTATATTGATGGTGTTGCCTTGGATCTTTTGTATGTTGATGGTGTTAGTTACCTTAGATCTTTTGCATGTTGATGGTGTTACCTTTGATCTTTTATATATTGATGATGATAACCTTGGGTCTTTTGTATATTGATGGTGTTACCTTGGGTCTTCTGTATATTGATGGTGTTACCTTGGGTCTTTTGTATATTGATGGTGTTACCTTGGGTCTTCTGTATATTGATGGTGTTACCTTGGATCTTTTGTATATTGATGATGATAACCTTGGGTCTTTTGTATATTGATGGTGTTACCTTGGGTCTTTTGTATATTGATGGTGTTACCTTGGGTCTTTTGTATATTGATGGTGTTACCTTGGATCTTTTGTATATTGATGATGATAACCTTGGGTCTTTTGTATATTGATGGTGTTACCTTGGGTCTTTTGTATATTGATGATGATAACCTTGGATCTTTTGTATATTGATGGTGTTACCTTGGGTCTTTTGTATATTGATGGTGTTACCTTGGGTCTTTTGTATATTGATGGTGTTACCTTGGATCTTTTGTATATTGATGGTGTTACCTTGGATCTTTTGTATATTGATGGTGTTACCTTGGATATTTTGTATATGGATGGTGCTACCTTGGATATTGTGTATTTAGATGGTGTTACCTCAAATAATGTGTATATTGTTGATTGTACATGTACCTTTCATCATTTGTTTATTAGTGATATTAACTTTTCTTTTTAGACCAATCAGGAGATGGCAAAACACATCTTAATGACAAGTTTGGGTATTAAACGGGTCTTCATGGCATGGATTACAAACTAATTTCCCATTGGCCTGTATAAAAATGATGGAGCTTGTGAAGGGTTACTGTGGTAACATACAAATTGTGATTACCTTAGGAACTAAATGACATCATATTTGATCAAGTGTAGTGTAATATGTTGACTCTATCCTACACTACAGAAATGGTGGAATTCTCTGGCAGAGTGTATGGTTTCCATACAATATGAACAGGACATTATCAAGTTTCAATCAGTGAGAATGATTTAACCAGAGTTATTTAGAGACTAATTGAAAGATAATTTTAGGCAAAGTAGTGCATTGTTTATATGTATTTTGCCTTCATTAAGCTGTAAATTTTAGAGGATCAGGTCTATATATTTTGCAATAATTTCTATGTTAAAATTCATCAGTAATTTCATCTTTTTTTTCGTATGGAGTATTGCATCAATCCTATGTCATATTTCTGTGTCCGTTACAGGTGTTTATGAGTGGGAAGTTGTCAACAGGTGAATGAAAGCAATTGTATGTATCACCAATTTGATTGAATCCTGGCCAATTATACAATAAAACCATTTGATCACAATATGTTGTTTTTGTTGTTGTGTTTATCTTATACAGGATAGAACATAAGCTCCTTACAATTAGATTTTGATGAGTTTTATATCTTCATGGATACCCATCCTAGCATCAGAATTTAGAAGCATTTTATTTTTTTTCATCTGCCTAAAGGACAAGTGAGTGCATACAACAGCACCATGTCGTCAGTCCTTCATTCTATTCTATAAACAACCCAGGATTAAGATATAAAGCCATTAACATGCGAGATGAAGAACTTGTAGATTTTGACTTAAATTTAATGAATGATCTTTACCAATTTTCAAGGTCACAGAGTCAAACGTGTTTAAGATTTCAAGCAATTTCTTTTCAGTAACAAAAAGGTATGATGTCGTAATATTTGGTAAGAAACATACTTGAATCAGATTGTTCAAATGTCAGACTTTTTAAATAAAAGATCCAAGATACCATATTTGGCCAGAAGATGACCTTCTGTTTAAGGTCACAGGGGTAAATGTGTTCAATTCAAGGTTACAAGTGAACAACACATGCCCTTTTGATCTCTTCTTTTCAACCAAAATTTGTCAGGAGAGCATTAACAGAAGCTGTTGTCCTTTTTATACTTTGTGATTAGATTAGGACCAGACCCTTACACTTCTGAGATTAATTACCATCAAACACCTCATTTATTATATTGCTTGCATACTTATTTTGTGTAATCTGAAAACCAGTTTGTGAGAGCATATTTATGATACAGATTGATGTATCATAACAATCTTCACAAATTGTATCTTTGAATAGTTTTTTTTTTATTTAAAGGGAGAAAGAAAACATGAGAAAAAAGTAAATTTATATAAATAAACATATCATAATTTACATAAATAGGTACCAATGGTGATTTAATTAACACAAAGAATAAGGTTCCTGCATAGCAGACATTTGACTGTCACAAGACTACAATATTCATAATTACTGGATTCATTTATTGATATATTAGATGAAGAAATCCTCATAAACATAAATCAGCATTATTTATCTTATTAATACATTTCAAGTTACATATAGGTCAGATAGTATATGTGACCTAGCTGTTATATATAAGACAGATTGGGAAATTCTTTAAAATTTGTTTTCTGCAGGCAGGCCAGGATTCTGAACTATTTTGGTCTGAAGCAACCTTCGGTGACTAAAAATGAAATCTTATATTAATAGTGGTTTAGCTAACCTCCTGGGGGCAGAAGGTTGGGACTAAATGGTGAAATAGACATAAACTTCTAGAATTCCTTTTCCTTTAATCTTGAATGAAGCAGTTTAAGACCATGTGGCTGATACAGGTCCTATTGATCTCTTGATTTAATATATTATAATTGACTTTAAAAAACAATACTTAGTATTCATTTATATCAACTTTATTTCATACATTGTACATCAGATACATAGCCAGATTTCATATTCACAATGCATTTTTTCTTGGATGAAAATATTTTCTCCGAAATAGGAATTTTTGATATTTGATGTATAAGTATTAACTACCAATGTACAAAGTATAAAACAACAAAATTTTGTTAAGCGTATGTAGTGCATCCGAAAGTCACCTACAGTACACGTGTATTTGTTGGACAAAAAAAATCATCTTATATATGTGGATCACCATTCATCATTACTGTGTTGCCACCTTAGAAACGATTTCAAGGGACACAACTCGTACAGGAAGTAGAATTATTTTTCATTATATTCATGCGCGTGTTCCATTAACAGATAACTTTCAGCGTGTGTAATTGCCTTAAGGTAGTTGTTGTTTGCGTCCCAATTAATCATTTACCCCATAAAACGTTTTACACGCATGTTCGATAATCGGGCTTTGTCTCTTACAATAAATATATGAACTATTTATCATGGTTGCTACGATCGCGTAACAATTTTAAACAGTGTGTTGTTAGGCACCTGTTGTGTTCGGGGATTGTGATGGATATACTGTCTTTTCTTTAACTAAACTTAAAAAAATCAGTATGGCAGACGATCCAGAACAACAACCTGATAATATTGCAGAAGAAGAGAATCAAGAAAAGGAAGAAAATGCAGAAGATGGCGAAAAAGAAATCCCGGAGTTGACTGTTACTGAAGAGCTCACAGAGGATGCTGAAGCGTTGAAAAATGAGCTCAGCAAAATCGTTGTGCATCCTCCTACGATAGATTTGTCGTAAGTGTTTATTTTTCACAAAATGATTATCAAAATGGATGACACCGTGTAAAGTTTTTAAATAGTATATGTAGCATGTGATTATAATAAGTATAATCGTCTGTTTTGTTTGCAAGCAGTGCCAGGCGTCAGGGTGTTATGCCTTTTTTCCGTAACTCCAATAACAATATTAGGACTTGATGGAAATGTATGTACTTATTATTGAATTGAAATATTTTTTATCTCTTGGTTCCCATTAGACACTTATATGTATTTGTGTTTAAACGGAATTCCTCAAATGATTTATTGGATATCACACTGTACTCAATGGTATGCAATGGTACAACAATAACATACACTTCACAGACGATCACTGGGTTTAGTGTGCTGCATTGAAACATATTAATATCCTTTTTGTCTGGTGTTGCAGAATACCAATGAAAGAATTTGATCAAACAGAATTCCCAGCCTCATACAAAGAAAATTTGCCTAAAGAAAATCTGGTTTTACAATATGCAGAGAATTTCCGAAGACAATATGTGCATTTGTACAGAGACAGAAAGCCACTGTTCCTCAACCCAGTCAATGAATGTGGAACAGAGGTAATCATATGATCATGATTGACCCATTCAAACATATTGTTCAAATTCCCATTGATAGCATCAATTGTTATCTGATACCATATGAATAATTATTCAAAGTTAACTCTAATGGATAAAAAAAGAAAAAGACAAATAAGATTATAAAATTGAAATATGAAATTGTGAACAGATAATTCAATCATTATGTATGTTCTTTTACTTATATAATATGTTTAAATTCTATGCAGAAATTTGTATGTACCACCATACGACCCACACAACTTGAATTTAAAGAGCTTTATAACTGGGAAGGAGCAGCTGAATTTGTTGCTGATTATCTCAACTTTGAGACATTGGAACCACCAACTGAACTGGTAGGGAAATTTTTGTTTGAAGTGATAGCTCCTAATTACTCTGTGTTCTGATTCTACATATGTCTGAAATAAGTATTTTATTTCAATGTTACAGTAATTCAAACTAACACCCTGCCAGGCTGGTTTTTTTTTTTATCCCTGGGTCTCAATTCTCATAATTTACAAAGCAAAACTGAACAGACTTGTTACCATAAGAATAACAACCAGTCTGGTACTCTTATGATTTTAAACTTGCATGAATGAATTTTCCCATTATTACAGCAACATCAATGAGTAAAAAAAAATTAAGAAAAATAGAGATCTAGAACTGATGTAGAGATGTAACTTATTTGTATCTAGAAAATATTGATGTATTTATCACCTCGTTTTAGACTTATACTGTAACTGTAATAATCATATTTTTAATAATTGTAGCCCCAGAGACTGCTTTCACCCACCACTATTCTAAAGCGTCAGAAAGGAAACTGTTTTGATTACAGCACTTTATTGTGCTCCTTGCTGATTGGAGTAGGGTATGATGCCCTGGTGGTTAATGGTTATGCCACACGAGAGACCTGTCTGGCAGATGAATCACGGGAAATCTGTCCTCTTATGAAGAAAAAAGAGGAGGTAATATTGAAATTGTCTGTTTGGTTTGACTGCTGTTTTTATCAGCTGATAAGAATTGTGTTAAATGATTAATGACATAATGTTTATATGCATTGATAAATTGGTGAGCAGAACATATGTGAGTGAGTGAATGTCATACTGTAGATGGTGATTGAATTTTAACAGAAAAACATATATTATTAATTTTTAAAAATTAGTTGGTGAATAATCAGGATTTCATGTTAAGATTGAGGTGTGAAAATATATGGATCTCTACCTGACATGTTTATTTTCTTGATGTATCCCAGTTTACTCCTGCACAGGCCTACAGCAGTGATAAATGTTAATTGTTGGGAATTAAAGGTGATAAATTATGTTATTTTCACATGTCAATCCTGCAGGTGAAACAAGAAGTTCAAAAGAAAGAACAAAAGAAGTATGCAGTAAAGGCTCCAAAGGATTTACGCAGCAAGTTTGAACTTAAACAAGATGCAAAAGCCAAAGCTGAAAAAGAAGCTGAGGAGGAGCAACGGAAAAAAGAAGCAGAAGAGAAAGCAGCTGTAAGTACTTGTTTTCCTCCTGATTGTGGTAATTTTTTTATACTAAGGTGTCACCTAATTTAGAGTGCACATTTCAATGTATTTATCTGTAAATTGTAAAGGGTTTCTTACTACATGTCCCAATGTATGTATACTACAGGGTGAAATCATCAACAAAATTTGGAATTATAAAGAGGGATAGAGATTCCAAGTAAAGCTTAAAATTACTGTTAAAGTTTTGAATTACTTATAGTCTTGTGTTTATTGCAGGAGCTAGAAAAGCCTCCTCCAGATCCTCTATATGGTCTGCGTGTACATGCTTGGGTGCTGGTCCTAGCAGGGCGAAGGGAAGTCCCAGAGAGTTTCTTTATTGAGCCTTTCACTGGCCTGTCCCATCCTGTGGACAGTCAGAACTACCTTGGTATTGAGACTGTATGGAATGCCACAAACTACTGGGTCAATATGCAGGATTGCTCTGATGGGGTCAAGGTGAGTACATAGCTGGTAAATGTACTGACATGTAAAAGGAGGTGACATTAATGATAGAACAATGATGCTTTAGGACTGAATTAAGAGACAGATTTAAACATTCCCAATATTGATATGTTTTCTTTACTATTTAACCTCTAGGGTCTCAGTTATGACCTTGGAGACTGTACACGATGGGAATACATGTTTCCTAACACTGAGAAACCCTTGCTGAAGATCCCAGATGTAGAGGATGATATAGGTGACCTGGATGATGATGAGGTAAGGGTGTACTGGTGATGTTTTGTCTTGAATATGACCTGTTGGATGTTGTGCACATTTTTTCTGTAATACTTTGAGTTTTTATCATGACAAATCAGGGATGGTATATATTGTGACTTTGCTGAAATTTCACTCTGTTTGCCTATGTTGCCAGCTTAGTTTTGAGAGAGAAGTGGTTTAGGTCAGCCATGAAGTAATGTTGTTTGGAGTGACTTCATCTCATCTTAGTTTGTCACGAAATTGTTGCTGGGTATGTAATTAAAATAACTTATAGGTGATATGCTGAGTATTTTCTTATTCCTACCTGTTTGATATTGGTTTGTCCAGGACAATACACCCATGTGTACTGAATATGTATGATATGTCTACTTGGATAATACAGCCTCAACCAAGGTTGTAATGCGAGAAGTAGCTCCATCACAACTATTTTCAGAACATAATAACAAAAGGTTTTAAAACATGAAACATGAAAAATGTAAATCAAGAGATTCAAGGTATTGATACATGTATTCGACATATAGCATGCTGAATAGCTACCAGGTTTGTTTAAATGAATAAACTTGACCCAAATTCAATGTCACAGGATTCAATTGTGTTAAAATCTTCAAACACCCTTTTAATAGCCAAATGTCCAGGATATTGATATGGTTCTGTAACATAATTGAGATAAGGGATACCAAATTCAATCAAATGATTGACCTTGACCCACTTTTAAATGGGGTCAGATATGTTTACAACTTGAAATTTCTTCTGTCAACAAGCAATAGGTCATGGGTTATGATAATTGGAAATTGCATGTATCAGATATAGGATTTAAAGTTTGCAGATATTGAATTTATGAACTGACAAAATCTTCTTTGCCAGCTGTAGAACAGGTGAGCAATAAGGCCTGTTTGGCCTCTATCTTATAGAGGTCTTTATAGGCTGATGACCATTAAGGCTGATGGACCTCTTGTCTAATATAATTTCATTTTTAATAACATGAATTAAAGAATTTTGTATATAGTATCTACAATTCATGATGACATAGAACAAAATTTCAGTGTGCATGTCCCTCCAGATGTTGACAGGATTGGCTGAGAGATCAATCTTCAACATTTTAAACAACATTTGATTGATACAACATGATAGGAATACATGTATTTACTTTGAATGCTGATGTTTATTGTAGATTTTTGTTTTTTGTTGGTTTATTGTTTTTGGTCAAATGCATCAGGGAAAGGTTTAGATTTTGAAAAATGCCAACTTCCTGAGTTTACTGGAGACAAGTAAGGCATATTTTGTACACCATCAAGTTTGAAAATGAAAGAAATGTTTTATATGTGTATATAGAATAGGGATATTCAAGCCTCTGGGTCTTAAAAGTATGGTAAAATCTTTCACAGAACTTTATGTTTGACCATATTATGTGACTCTAGTGTAGAATGTATCCTACATATGTCATGAAGTTTTATACAATAAGATAATGTAGTATTAAATGTTGTCATTGTTTGCTGAAACGGTCTAAAACCTACAGAGTAGAAACCTTTGAGTAAATAGAATTTCATATCATAAACTCACATATAAACTGGACGTATAGTGTAGGTAACCTGCCCCATGATGCTATATTTAATGTATGAAAGTGTCAACATTTCAGAATGGCAGTGAGCGGTTGAATGCTCTTCAACGTGACAACACACAGATCACCTTCTCTGAGGTTCTTTTTTATCGTCCTATAATTGTGAACCTATATCTATACTTATCAATCAGAAACAGTGATTGGGACAGTATAATGTCTGACTGGGTTGGGACACTCTTCCACATCACAATTTCAAAGTGTTGTTCTGTGTTCCAAGTCCTATTCTGAAACAAGTAGATCAGTTTTCTTTTATCATCACTATAAATGTTTCCTGTTTCTACAAATTGAACTACAAGACATAGACTACCTAGTTAATCACACCACCAGACATAGACTACCTAGGTAAGTACACCACCAGACATAGACTACTAGGTAATTACTGCACCAGACAGAGACTACCTAGGTAATTACTCCACCACACATAGACTACCTTTGTAATTACACCACCAGACATAGACTACTAGGTAATTACTGCACCAGACAGAGACTACCTAGGTAATTACTCCACCACACATAGACTACCTTTGTAATTACACCACCAGACATAGACTACTAGGTAATTACTGCACCAGACAGAGACTACCTAGGTAATTACTCCACCACACATAGACTACCTTTGTAATTACACCACCAGACATAGACTACTAGGTAATTACTCCACCAGACAGAGACTACCTAGGTAATTACTCCACCAGACATAGACTACCTTTGTAATTACACCACCAGACATAGACTACCTAGGTAATTACACCATCAGACATAGACTACCTAGGTAATTACTCCACCAGACATAGACTACCTTTGTAATTACACCACCAGACATAGACTACCTAGGTAATTACACCATCAGACATAGACTACAAGGAAATTGCTCCACCAGACAGAGACTACCTAGGTAATTACTCCACCACACATAGACTACCTTTGTAATTACTCCACCAGACATAGACTACTAGGTAATTACTCCACCAGACAGAGACTACCTAGGTAATTACTCCACCACACATAGACTACCTTTGTAATTACACCACCAGACATAGACTACAAGGAAATTGCTCCATCAGACAGAGACTATCTATGTAATTACACCACCAGACAGAGACTACCTTTGTAATTACACCACCAGGTATAGACTACTAGGTAATTACTCCACCAGACATAGATTACCTTCATAATTACACCACCAGACATAGACTACTAGGTAATTACTCCACCAGACAGAGATTACCAAGGTAATTACTCCACCAGACAGAGATTACAAAGTTTAAGTACCCTAGGTAAAACACTTTTGCAGTTTAAATTTAACAGTTTTATGACCTAAAGCCTTATGTGCAGTGACAGTATATACATGGTATTTCAAACTCTACATTGTGTGAGCCATCAGCAGATGTGTTCAACAAGTGACTTAGGATAGTGAGAACGTACTTTGATATTGTAAGGATGTGAAGAGTTATAATTTAACTAGTCCAGCATCTTTTATATGCTGTCATTCACATTTAATCAAAACCTTCCAAATCACTGTTATTATGCAGCCATGGAGTCAGTATTGTGTTGTACCATGGCATTTAAATTGTGTTTTCTAACTTTTGAATAACAATATCTTCATAGAGTTCAGGTATTGAGTTTGGCTTATGATGTGGTAAATGTACATGTCACAAAAGTACACACGCAGGGATGTGACAGGTTAATGGTGGATGGTGCCGTGTGCTGTGCTATATCAATAAATTTGTACCCAAGATATTTCAGGCTTACAGATAACATCCAGACCTTAAGGTCCACTTTATGGTCACTGCTATTGGTCATGTGCACAAAATCAAAATAATCATTGCATTTTGAGAGGAAAAAATGGATTGCTGTGTATGCTTGCAGCTTCAGATATAGAAAGAACTACAATTCCAAAGACAATATACCCAGAAAGCTTGTACTAATTATCTGCCTGTATTTTCAGTGAAGGCATATTATTGTGACTGATTGCTTTTTTTCTTTTACAAATTGCTGTCAGATCAATGATATACCAACTGATCTGTAAATTTCCCATTCAATGGTCAGTTTAAGATTATTAAGCCAACAGTGGTTGTCTATTTACTGTACATTTACATGATAATTTATAGATATAAACAAAATGTACTACTTCTAGATGTCTATTACTATATTACAGTAAATACTGTACACTCAGTAAATAATGTACACTCATTAAATACTGTACACTCAGTAAATACTGTACACTCAGTACACACTCAGTAGTAATGTACACTCAGTAAATAATGTACACTCAGTAAATAATGTACACTCAGTAAATAATGCACATTCAGTAAATAATGTACACTCAGTAAATACTGTACACTCATTAAATACTGTACACTCAGTAAATAATGTACACTCAGTAAATAATGCACATTCAGTAAATAATGTACACTCAGTAAATAATGTACACTCAGTAAAGAATGTACACTCAGTAAATAATGTACACTCAGTAAATAATGTACACTCAGTAAATACTGTACACTCATTAAATACTGTACACTCAGTAAATAATGTACACTCAGTAAATACTGTACACTCAGTAAATAATGTACACTCAGTAAATAATGTACACTCATTAAATACTGTACACTCATTAAATACTGATATTCAGTAAATAATGTACACTCAGTAAATAATGCACATTCATTAAATTATGTACACTCAGTAACACTCATTAAATACTGTACACTCAGTAAATAATGTACACTCAGTAAATAATGTACACTCAGTAACACTCATTAAATACTGTACACTCAGTAAATAATGTACACTCAGTAAATAATGTACACTCAGTAAATAATGTACACTCAGTAAATAATGTATATGTAGGTTATAAACATATTAAACAGGTTTTTACCTCCTTCTATCAGATTTTCCTAAAAATCTTAGGAGTTTCATGAGATACATGATTCTGCAAAATTCTTGTATAATTATATAACTAACTTTCTCAGTTTATATAAATGTATCCTAATTGCATGTTCTCACATAATGTTGTATCAAGTTTGATTTAATGAATTAATTAAAGGTTTCAGGGTCTACATGTTAACAAATTGAAACACAAAATCTAATGGTAAGGTTTTTGTTTTGGGGGATGATTGTCGTCTCTAATGTCTCCATTGTATTTATGTCTGAACATTAGAAGTTTAGATGATGTTGCCAACTATCCCACTACACATTTACACTATACTCATTCATTTGTAATTTTAGATGTTTGTTTTTAGATTTGCTGACTTCAGCTAGTTATTCCTATTATCACATTGAGTATACTTAGATAATCATTATACCTGCTAGGTTTAACATTTACGCCAATATTTCCCTGCTGTGATGTCCATAGCCAACAGCCTCATTTTAAACTTAACATGTAGTGTATTGACATGATGATAGATGTTGATAGACTCTAGAAGGCCTTACTAATCTAGTATTTTGTTCTACAGGAGGAAGAGAAAGAGATGGACAAAAATCTAGACCTGCCTCCATCCTGGGTGGAGCCTATTAAACTCTCCTTACGAGGTGGGTATTCTGTTATCTGTTTATACTGAATGGGGTTTTTGGTGTGTGTCCGTATACTGAAGGGTGTTACTTTGTTTTCTCATATTGACTTCGGTCATTCATTGATGTTTCATACATTGTTATGAAAAATTGCTGAAAATAGTTTGTACTACTGTTCTGTGAGTAAGTGACTTTCAGATGTGATAATAAATGTAGGTTTGTACTCTGTGACTAAGCGACTTCCAGGTGTAGCAGTAAATGTCAGCAGTTGTGACATGGATTTTAGGGGTGATAATTTAAGTCACTTGCTAACTGTCATAATGTGACTTGTAGACTTCCAGATGCGGTGTCCACAAGGAAAGAAGACAAAACTGTATAAACGTGCAAAGCTGGAAAAGTTTGCCCACTACTTGATGAAGGATGGCTTGGTCTCCAAATTATCCATATATGAAAACCGTGAATGTAGGTACTAGAGGTCCTTTCTAAGGTGATCTGAAAGTAAATTTATAGATAAAAACAACAGGAGTCTTACATAGAAAATGTCATAAAAATGAAATGTCTGCACTTGTGTGTGCTTTTATAATGTATAAACATGTGTGTGTTCCATGTAACCATTGCCATGCTAAATAGTCTGACAAAAATGTGGTCTTGTTTGAAATATTAATGTTGGAGTATAATAATCATTCTCAGATATTCCCAGCTGTCAATAGTTAGGATAGGAGTGGATTTATATAGTCATGACCGACAAATGTGTAAAGTCATTCTGGTGAATTTTAAAAGAATGTTAATGCTTTTGGATATCAAACTTGTGAATGTATCATAAGTATTTCTAGTAATAATGAAATGTGGTTTATGTTGCAGTGACAGACCTTATCATGGTACGAGAATATTTTGCACACCGTGTTGATAAACTTTGTACAAAAGTACACAACAATCGATCAGGCTGGAACACTGAGTTTTTTGACCCTGGCAGACACAAATGTCTCAAAGGTAACACAATTTTGATATTTGTTATACAACTGTTTGTTATTTTGACTGGTTTGTTTACAGTCTTGGGTCAGGTTATATTGGCTCATCAGGTCTTAACACTTTCATTACAATGCTACAGTCTCCAGAATGGTTTAAAAGTAGCAATCTATCAAGTATTGATCATACATAGATAAAACAGTCAGAAAACCTGATATCCATTGTTAGTCCCTAACAGTAAAATCAGGGGAAATCTAGTTTTCTTCTCCGTCCATCCCTACAGTGGTAAAAGTTTGTCTCACTTAAAATAGCATTGAATTATCTGAGACAACTTTGAGTTTCAAGGTTGTGGGGTCAAGATCAAGGACACTGTTACCAGTTTTAGAAAATTTTGAAATAATTACAGTATACAAGCTTGTCACGACTGAATATGCTTGTTTCTCATTGTTGGGGCAAGAGGTTTAAAATGCTTTACATATTTACTCAACTATACTTCCGTTTAACAATTTTCAGAGCACCAGTATAAGGCAAGCAGTCCTGGCCCGGAGAATGACAGAATCATGCTGTTTTATGATGAGGCCAGGGTGGATGGTCTAGTTAAGCGAGTTGAGAGCCTGTCTGAGATGACTGAGGAATACAGAAATAGGGATGATTACTTGTTCTACAAACAAGTAGAGTTTGGAAAACGGACAAAGAAGTTTGGTCCACAGGATGGCACGGGTGCAAACAACATGCGACCTATTGTGGTATGACTTTATCACTGATGTGCTCCAATTATTTATTTCTAATCAACATTTACAAGGGTGCTGTACTTATCCTTGTTTTCCTTTGTTTTCTGTTTTGGCTAGCACAAAACAATTCTCTTAATGACAAGGCAAACATCTGTGTCCAGTAAAATAATAATCAAATTTTCCCTTAAATGATATTGTAGTACAGTGAAATCTGCTTAATATCATGTTCCATTTGTCAGACAGAAATGTGATAATAAGCGGAATGTGACATTAACATTTTGCCAGATGTCTAAATACGTAATGTACATAGTACTCACACTGTCTATTTGTTCTCCAAGTCGGTCATTGTCATCAGGATAATTGAAACAATGAATAAGTTATGTGTAAATATTTTGGGTTGCAGAAGATGATTCAGAAGTTTCACAGAAACCCTAAAAAGGTGGCCAGTGAGGACGTTGCTGAGCTGGTGTTCCTGGTGTCAGAAGACAAGATCCAGGTGACCTATCATACAGAGGATACACGTATAGCCTCCTCAACACGAGAGTTCCTCAAACCTGCAAACTGGGACGAGAAAGGTGCTACCCTGACATTCAACCCAGAGATGCATCAAACTTTCCAGGTCTGTTCAAATATCTGTTGTCTTCTCATTTAATCGTTAAACTAAAAAAAAAGAAATTTCAGATTGATGCCACGATTCAATTGTGCCTTTTTAAAGGAATGATGAAATCATTTTCGCTGTAAAAGATTTCAAATCTCATAACTTATAATGGTTGTCTTTCTTTACTCAAAGCTATACACGGCCAGGATTTGTTATCCAAATTTTAGAGAGAAACATGCTGTATTTGCTTATTGTTGTTTTTAATAGGTGGACCCCACATCTCCAATGAACAAAAATGTGGAACTGTATGAGATGCTGCTAGAAATGCTCAAAGCAGAGGAGAAATGTCGTAATGAGGTCCGGGAGTCTGAGGAGGAGGTAAGGCACATGCTGTCTAATGTTATATCAATATTTATGTAAGCATTCTAAACACTCATTTCTAAACTTATTCATTATGTGTCTTTGTAAATGTGTAGTAACTTGAACTTGAGCATTAAAAAGAAATTGTAATGTGTATCATGCTACAGGTGCGTGAAGTATTGAATGAGAGGACCAAAGAAGAGACTGCATCAGAGCTGGACATTTCTGTTTATGATACAGATAGGAATGAGAAGGCCAAGAAACATAGGAGAGAATTGGTAAGTCCTTTCTCCTCCTGTCACTGTCAATCTCTGCTACCGCTGACCTCTATAAATGTCATGTCTTACTTCCAGCAGCCAGTCCCCGCTACTTGGCTCCACTCTCCACTACAAACTTCGACTCATTATAAATATCCACTCCCCACTGGTTACATCCACTCCTCTACAAATTTCATCTCTTCATTACAAACATTCACTCTTCACTAAAAATCTCAAAGCACCCACTATAAAACCTCTATTCCCTATTGCAACCTCCACTACCCACTACAAAACATTCACTCATTAACAACAAACCTCCACTCCCCACTCCACCCTCACCACAAATCTCCACTCCCCACTCCACCCTCACCACAAACTTTCAGTTCCCACTACCAACTCCATCCCTCACCACAAACCTCCACTCCCCACTCCACCCTCACCACAAACCTCCACTCCCCACTCCACCCCTCGCCACAAACTTTCACTTCCCACTACCAACTCCACCCCTCACCACAAACTTCCACTTCCCACTACCAACTCCACCCCTCACCACAAACCTCCACTCCCCACTCCACCCTCACCACAAACCTCCACTCCCTGCTCCACCCTCACCACAAACTTTCACTTCCCACTACCAACTCCACCTCTCACCACAAACCTCCACTCCCCACTCCACCCTCACCACAAACTTTCACTTCCCACTACCAACTCCACCCCTCACCACAAACTTTCAGTTCCCACTACCAACTCCATCCCTCACCACAAACCTCCACTCCCCACTCCACCCTCACCACAAACCTCCACTCCCCACTCCACCCCTCGCCACAAACTTTCACTTCCCACTACCAACTCCACCCCTCACCACAAACTTCCACTTCCCACTACCAACTCCACCCCTCACCACAAACCTCCACTCCCCACTCCACCCTCACCACAAACCTCCACTCCCTGCTCCACCCTCACCACAAACTTTCACTTCCCACTACCAACTCCACCCCTTACCACAAACCTCCACTCCCCACTCCACCCTCACCACAAACCTCCACTTCCTGCTCCACCCTCACCACAAACTTTCACTTCCCACTACCAACTCCACCCCTCACCACAAACTTCCACTTCCCACTTCCAACCCCACCCCTCACCACAAACTTTCACTTCCCACTACCAACTCCACCCCTCACCACAAACTTTCACTTCCCACTACCAACTCCACCCCTCACCACAAACCTCCACTCCCCACTCCACCCTCACCACAAACTTTCACTTCCCACTACCAACCCCACCCCTCACCACAAACTTTCACTTCCCACTACCAACTCCACCCCTCACCACAAACTTTCACTTCCCACTACCAACTCCACCCCTCACCACAAACCTCCACTCCCCACTCCACCCTCACCACAAACTTTCACTTCCCACTACCAACCCCACCCCTCACCACAAACTTTCACTTCCCACTACCAACCCCACCCCTCACCACAAACCTCCACTCCCCACTCCACCCTCACCACAAACCTCCACTTCTTGCTACCAACTCCACCCCTCACCACAAACTTTCACTTCCCACTACCAACCCCACCCCTCACCACAAACTTCCATCCTCACTACAAAAACTCTTATTCCATGCCTGTTACTCACTCTCACATGAGTTGTATGGAAAGAAAAAATCTACATGATACCTGAATGTTGATTTCGTCCATGACTTTTTTATGGGTTTAACATGACAATTATACATCAGCTGTGGAATATTGTTGGATATTTTATTCTGGGATTACTCTGGCATGAAGAACAATGTTATATCAGGTATTAGATTTGGCTCAGCTGAATGATTGACATAGTCTAACACAGGCTTATGTTGGATAACATGAAATCCCAGTTTCTGTTTATTTTTTCCTAATAGGAAATATACAAAGGGAGAGAGACTGAGCACACCAAAGGAGAGAGAATGAGTTCAATAATTGATTTTTTTGGATTGGTCCAGATAAGGCATGCATCAGTTTGATATTGTCTTGTTGAAGACTTTGTGATTTTTAGTCAGTGTGTTTTATTAGAGTAGTCTTTGTCATGTGTAGGTCCTTCTCCCTGTTCCTGTTCACCATAAGGGCTGAATTGAGGGAAAGAGGGAAATGATTTAAGCCAATTCAAAATGGTATTTACGGATGGCAATGGTATCACTTTAGCTAGTATAATTTGTATAGTGTATGTGTTGTAGATGCCTGCCACCCCATTGACCATTGTACCCTATGACCACTCGTATAATTTGTGTGGTGTATATGTTGTAGATGCCTGCCACTCCATTGACCATTGTACCCTCTGACCACTAGTATAATTTGTGTGGTGTATATGTTGTAGATGCCTGCCACCCCATTGACCATTGTACCCTCTGACCACTAGTATAATTTGTATAGTGTATATGTTGTAGATGCCTGCCACTCCATTGACCATTGTACCCTATGACCACTAGTATAATTTGTATGGTGTATGTTATGGAGATACCTGCCACCCCATTGACTGTTGTACCCTGTGACAACCAGTGTAATTTTTTTGGTGTAGGTTATGGAGATACCTGCCACCCCATTGACTGTTGTACCCTGTGACAACCAGTGTAATTTTTTTGGTGTAGGTTATGGAGATACCTGTCACCCAGTTAACTATTGCCTTCTCAGTGTTGCCACTACAATCTCTGTGTCAGTGTCAGTGAAGGCTATGTGTCCCCCTGGTACTTAAGGACATATATCACAATTAAATGTCACCATTGTTTATTTACAATATCTTTCCCAGACTGTCAGTCATGACAACATAAAATGTTGTATCATCAAGAATAAAAGTCACTACATCCTTTCCCTGTAATGGCTTTTGTTTATATGTGATGAGATCCTTCAGAGAAACACTGCTTTGTACAAATTTTCTGCCATTTGTAAAAGCAAGTCAATCATGTGTTGTTTGGATTCTCTTGTTTTATTTCTAGATAGAAAAGCTTGAATCAGTGTTCTTCATGATACAAAGAAAAACTCCAAGCACTGTTAATGATGAATTCTATGGTCAAGTGACCAGTGAAAGATAATTTAACAACTAAGAAGGATTGATGACTCATTGAGTTGTTTAGAGAGAAAACTCTGATGGTTTGAGTATTTACCTGTAAATCTATGAGATTGAGATATTGATTATGTATAAAAATCCTACTTTGATGATAACTGTTAAAAGATAAGGTCCAAAGATACTTGAGTTGTAAAATGAGAGAAGTGAATGTCACAGAATAAAATATTATCTCAAGATTTCTTTCGAGAAAAAATGTGGGTTTATCATACATCAGCATTTATTAGTAATGGTGTTTAAGCTTTGTTAGTGTGACAAGTAGGAGGAGACTTGTATAGGCATGGTGTGTGAGGACATGAACAGGATGCAGATTAGCACAGCAGCATAGTTTAATTAGCCAATTCTTTCCAGTGTTTCTATATAAGAAGATAACTCCTACTCCAGCTATGCGTGACAGCTCTGTCAATATGGCTGGCACACATTACTGATACAGAAGTACTTTGGTAATCTTGTTTCACCATTTCCGTTTAAGAGAATCTTCCTAGCATTACTTCTACTTTTAGAAGTATATCAGGAGCAGTACACTTTCTGGCATTTGAATTCTGCATTTAAGCCCCTATTTATATTCTCAATTACAAGATTTTTTCCATCATCCCTTTGCAGTTTTCTTCACTGCCATGCTTGTAATTGAATTTCTTGGAGTGAATTTTATGTGTACAATTTTAACTGTGGTACTTTTGTATAAAAGACAGCAGTGTAAGAAACAATGTGATCAATGTGTGAGTCATACCAGCATATAAAACTGCAAATCATGAAATCAATATCCAATTGAAAGCTTTCAGCTGTACAACACCTGAGTAACTGTACTAAATCCTTGTCAGATAATCCCTTGTACTTGTGTATATCAGTTGTTTCTTATCTAAATTCTAGCCCCTTAGTTTCCTTTTCCTCCTCTTCTTCAATATTTTCTCTTTATTGGTTTTCTCTTTATCTTTGCCCCATTTTCCAATTGTCTCTCAATCTCCTTTCTATTCCCTGTTCTTACAACAGTCCTTTTCTTTCAATATTTAAAATCATATCTTTAATCTGTTCTCATTTTCAACAAACTGCTCACCTTTTCTGTCTCATTGTACCCCTACCACCCCCTCAACATGTGTTTAACTAGGTATAATCATGAGATCTAGGTATAATCATGAGATTTAGGTATAATCATGAGATCTAGGTATAATCATGAGATCTAGGTATAATCATGAGATTTAGGTATAATCATGAGATTTAGGTATAATCATGAGATTTAGGTATAATCATGAGATCTAGGTATAATCATGAGATTTAGGTATAATCATGAGAACTAGGTATAATCATGAGAACTAGGTATAATCATGAGATCTAGGTATAATAATGAGATCTTGGTATGATTATGAGATCACTTTGCCTGTCTCATTGTGACCCTTCCACCTGATCAATGTATGTTTAACTAAGTATAACCTTGAGATCACCTTTCCTGTCTCAATGTCACCCTCCCACCTCCTCATTATGTGTTTAAGTAGGTATAACCTTGATATCACCTTTCCTGTCTCAATGTCACCCTCCCACCTCCTCATTATGTGTTTAACTAGGTATAACCTTGAGATCACCTTTCATGTCTCAATGTCACCCTCCCACCCCCTCATCATGTGTTTAACTAGGTATAACCTTGAGATCACCTTTCCTGTCTCAATGTCACCCTACCACCCCCTCATTATGTGTTTATCTAAGTATAACCTTGAGATCACCTTTCCTGTCTGTCACCGTCCCACCCCCTCATCATGTGTTTAACTAGGTATAACCTTGAGATCACCTTTCCTGTCTCAATGTCACCCTCCCACCCCCTCATTATGTGTTTAACTAGGTATAACCTTGAGATCACCTTTCCTGTCTCAATGTCACCCTCCCACCCCCTCATTATGTGTTTAACTAGGTATAACCTTGAGATCACCTTTCCT